ACACTCTTACAATACGAAGTGAAGAGCCTCAGCGTCCAGATACAAATGTTGACTTTCAACGTGCATTGTCTCGAGAAGGGCTTGGACCAGCTCACTTCGGACGAGAGGCTGATACTCCAGAGGCTGGAGAGGGGTCAGCTACATGAGCAGATAGGAGACGAGGAGTTGAACGCTCATACTTCGATCCTCGAGCGTCTAGTCGTCTTCAAAAATATCAAAGAGCTTCAAGAACGGAACGAACAGCTTCTTCAGGTTACCCATGAGCTTGCGGAGAGAATGGAGAATGAGGAAGCTGTGGCCGCCAAGAGCCAAGCAATGGAGGATCACAAGGAACGTGTTCGACTCGAACAGGAATTAGAAATCTTCAAAGACACTCTGAGAGGTTTCCAGGTGAAGACCGAAAGTATTACGAAGGAGAGAGACATGTTCCGCCGTATAGTGGAGTCAAGAGCATCTGCCGACGAAATGGCTTCGGCCTTAGGCCGCTCTACACAGGACGGGGTTCTTGCTAGTATCGAGCAGAATTCTACCGCAAACGACGATGGTTCTGATTACACCACTCTACTCCGGGATCTACAGCAAAATTTCGATCTCTACCGGAATGAGCAAACGGTTGACCGCAAAACCATGAAAGAGCAACTAGAGAAGCTATCTGCAATGAGGAATTCACTCCAAGCCGAGGTTTCCAAGTTGCAGAGCCAACTCTCTCTTGCATCAGAGCGGCATGAAATCCTACAGTCGAACTTTGCCGCCCTGCAAAGCGAGAATAAGGAGCTCCAGAAGAGAAATCAAACAATGTCGGAGTCCGCCGCGAAGCAAGACATACGCACGCAGCAGGTGGCCGAGGATTTGGTCGAGGCCCGAGGATTACTTGAAAGTATGCGTAGTGAAAATGCAAACCTCAAAGCAGAGAAGAAATTGTTAAAGGATATCCACGATAGACTAAGCCAAGACAACGAAAGTCTGATGCAGGAGAAGTCGCGTCTAAATGGCTTAGTCGCTACGCAGCAGACTCTCCAGAACGAACGCGAGCTGAGCGAATCCGAAATGAAACGACGTCTCCAATCCCAAATTGATTCTTTAGAAGCCGATCTTAATGCCACCAGACGAAAGTTAACTGACGAAGTTGAGGAAGGAAAGAAGGCGCAGCTTCGCAAGGAGTACGATGCTCAACAGTTCCAGAAACGGATCGATGAGCTCACTACAAACCTAAGTCAGATCCGCGAAGAACTTGTGGCTACTAAGACCAGTCGAGATCACCTCCAGAGCAGAGTTGACGAGCTAACCATCCAATTACGAAGTGCAGAGGAGCGCGCGGAGAGACTCCAACCAAGACCTACGCCAAGGCCGGGATCCATCGTCCCTATATCTGAACAAGGCATCGCACAAGCTGATTCCGACGAGCGCATACAAGATCTAATTCATGAGGTAACGGATCTTAAGCGCGACCTAGAGATGACGAAGTCACATCTGGAGAACGCTCAAGTGCAGGTTGAAAGGTACAAAGAATTGAGCCAAGCGTCGGAAGAGGAGCTTGAGAGGATCAACTCGACACAGGAGCAGTATCAGCAAGAGATGGATGCGGCAATTTCAGCCAAAGATGCCACGATCAAGGAACTCGAGCAGCGAGTGGAGGACTTATCGGCAGAATTGGCAAGATCTAATAGCGAATTGTCGAGTCTGCGTGATTCCCAGGCCGAGATCGCTAAGCGGTTCGAGGATGAGAAAGCTATACTTGATGAAGAAATTAAGCGTCTGAAAGATGAGGAGGAAAGATACGCAGCCTCTTCGCAATTCCATCAGCAAGACCTTCGTGCACAGGCCGAGATCGCAGCCCACGCGCAGCAAGCGTACGAAAGTGAAGTTACGAAACATGGAGAAACTGCGAAATCACTATCCAATCTTCGTGGCGAATACAACCAACTGAAGACTTCCGCAGCAACCTGGAAAGCAGAGGCCGAATCAGCGAAAGCCACTCTGGTACAGAGCCAGGGTTCTTGGGATGAACGACGGCAACGATTCGAGCGAGAAATCACAGAACTTCGTACTCGTAGAGATGATGCCAATGCGCAAAATAAGCTACTTCATCAGCAACTGGAGGATGTAATAAAACAGGTCTCAGCCCTACAGCAAAGTCGGACCTCTACTGATGAGTCACTCGAAGCCATTGCCGCGCAACCCAGCGGTTCCGATACTGATAAATTCCGAGAATTGAGCAATTACCTTCGTCGCGAGAAAGATATCCTGGAAGTCCAGTATGATCTTAAAGTACAAGAGGCCAAGAGACTACAACAACAACTCGAATATACGCAATCACAACTCGACGAGGCTAGGCTGAAGCTTGAACAGGAACGCCGTTCACAGGGTGACAGCGATCGAAGCTCCATAGCCCATAAGGATCTTATGGGCAAGCTAGAGGAGCTCAACCTATTCCGGGAAAGTAGCGCCGCTTTGCGGACAGAAGCACGTCAAGCGCAGGCTCAGTTAGCCGAGAAGACTGCCAGGATCTCAGAATTGGAATCTACTATTCAGCCCCTCGAGGCACAGATTGAGGAGCTTCAGAGTCAGCAGGCCTTTAGAGAAGCTGAAATGAAGCAGCTCCACGAAGACCGAGACCGCTGGCAAAAGCGAACAGAGGATATTCTCTCGAAACATGGTAGGACAGACCCAGCGGAAGTCGAAGAACTCAAGCAAATGGTTACCAAGCTTGAGTCGGAGAGAAACGCTCTGCAGGAAGCTGAGACACCTTTGAAGGAGAGAATACAGGAGTTGGAAAAGACCATTGAAGAAAAGGAAGCTTACTGGTCCGTGACAAGAGAAAAACTAATCAACTCTGCTAAGGAGCGATCTAGAACTCTTACCAACGCTAAGAATGAAGTTGTCGCTGAAAGAGACAGGCTTCAGACAAGGCTAAGTGAGGTCTCTGGTCAACTTTCGGCAACCCAAGGGGAATTGGAACAGTCCAAGAAGGCGAGACTCGGCTTGGAGGAGCAGATCAACAATTTCAAACGACAAGTTGAGACCCTTCAAGACGAGGCACGAAAGAATTCTACCGCCTCTGCCCCAGCAGATTCGTCTGATACTCAGGTACTGTCTACCTTGCAGAGTCAATTAGCAGAAGTACGTGCAGAGTTAGACAACGTCTCATCACAAAAATCTGCCATCGAGGAAGAATTACAAACCACTCGCAATCAACTAAACTCGGCAATCGCGGAACGAGATCAGGCTATTGCCAACTCCCAAGCTCAAGCGACCAACGGTGACACAACGATGGAAAACGGAACGGCCGTTTCAGAAGAAAGGCCATCAGCAACACCGCTATCCGACGACGAGCGCAGAGCTCTTGAAGAGAGGATTTCCGAGGCTGCAGCTAGGGCTGCTGAATGGGAAGCCAAATTCAAGGAATTGGACGAAAAGCATGAACAGATAGTGAAGACGAGAAGCGATAAGATGAAAGAGGCTCTAAACAAACGCCTGTCGGATTATAAGACACAGATGGAAGAGGAAAGAACCCAGATGAAGCAGGACATTGAAAAACTAGAGGCAGACTTCAAGCTTCGTATGGAACAAGAGCGGAAGATCTGGGAAGCAGAACATGGCAACGTGCCCAGCGACACGAAACCGCCCGCCACCCCAGCTCGACAGAATTCTTCTAGTACTCCAGCAGGAACGCCTTCAACTTCGCTAACGAACTTGAGCACGCTAAATGACAAGGAGATCCGGGATCTCGTATCCACTAATGCGACGATCAAGAGTATTATTCAGAATAATATTAAAAATAAACTCGCGATCGAAACCAAGAAGGTGCGCGAGGAGCAAGAGACGTTGAAAATAGAATGGGAGCAAAAAGTTGTCCAAGCACGAGAGCAAGCTGCTGCTTTAGCTACATCGAAGAGCAACCTAAAACTCAACATGACTGAGAAGAGGGCCCAGGCTGCTGCCGCTAAGTTAGTTGTGGTGGAAACAGCTGCAAAGGATACACCACAGCGACCTGTTGGTGAAGTTTGGGAAGTTGCAAAAGATGCAAAGCCTCCTCCGCCGGCCCCTAAGCAGCCAACTGCTACGGAATCGCAAGCCGCTTCGACAACGGCGAACGCTGCAATGAGTATGTTTTTTTATTACCCCAGTTGTCCGAGGAGTCAGTTCCTTTACTAACAATTCCCTAGTTCCTAGCACCCAACCTACAAACACGGTAGCAAACTCTCAAGAAGCAAAACCAGCCCCGAATAGCGGTATCCCTAAGCCGGGTGTGGTTCCAAACGTTCCCGCGGCCAATAATGCCTTCTCCCAGTCGGCTTCCAGGCCTCAAACCCCTTTTGCTCAAACTTCACAGAACCCCGCATCCCAGCCAGGATCGATAACTACACAACCACCTGCTCAATCCTCATCGATATCGCAAATTCCGACAAAAGCCACCGGTCTTCCAATGCCAACAGCGGGCACCCGCAAACCGAGCGGACCTAACCAGGCGCGAGGTGGCGGTCGTGGTGGAGCAGGAAACCGTGGGGGGCGTGGACAGGGTCGGCCTAGCCTGAATCCCTCGATCGATAATTTTCAACCCGGGAACAAACGTCCTCGCGGCGACTCGGAAATCGGCAATGGTGCAAAGAGGCCGAGGGGGGGTGGCGGTCAGCAATAGAGACGCGGATCGTACCGGTAGTGCGCAGTTGCCACCTGAAGTTTTAATATGCGCTGCGCTCATGCTGGTACACAGTAAGCAAATTGGCTTCTACTGGATCAAATATCGCTCTGTTGTGGATTGAACAATTCATGGATCATTTCCTGATATGTATCTCATAATTGTAACTTGAAAAGGGGTCAGCCAGGTCGGGGCCGGGAAATGAGGGCGTTAGCATTGTTGTAGCTTTATTGGTGATTAGACGTACGTATGAATGGTACGCATTATCTCTTTTGTGCAATTATCTTGTGTTTTCTCAATGTCACTGCTAGATAACAGTAGTAAGATGTGACTGTCTTAAGTTAATTCCCCATCAAATCCCTAAATAAAGGGGGAGAATAAGACTTGGTAATAAAAGGTGCCAATAGCATAACAATAATTCCACTCACGACATCGAACTCTGCTGCCGCCACTTCGACCTGCTTATAATTCTCACTTCTAATTGGTATATCTATCTCAGAGCATGCATACCTCTCTGGCCTTTCAAGCATTCGATGCTAATTCTTGTTCTACTGAACTAAGATACCCCCGTTTGTACTTAGACAGCTTCCCGTGCTATTAGTGTCCTTCATCAAATAGATGTACGCCTCTGCGACCTCCTCAGGAGTCCCGATCTTTCCGAGCAAGGCAGTCTTGGCCATCATCTCCACCCACCGAGTCCATTCCTCGCCGCTCTTCGTGTCAGTGGCACCGGGACTCACGAGGTTAACACGCACGGGCGCGAGGTCCAGCGCGAGACCACGCGTGGTACCGAAGAGCGACGCACCCCAGCCCGAGGCGACCGCCATACCCTTAACCGGTCGCTCGGCAACCCGGCCGCTCGTGAACGTTAGCGATGACTTGTAGCTCTGGTTCACGTAGCGCGGCGCTAGCTTCGCGATTAGCAGCGGTACTACGTATCCAAATTGCGTGCTGTCGCGTAGGTACTTCATGTTCACGTCGGCGACGGGACGCACGTCCAGCACGACTGCTGTGTACACGATGTGGTCGAGAGGACGCCCGTTAGCGTTGGTGACGTCGGAGAGTAGCTGCTCGATGCTGGACTCGGCGTCGTCGTGGTTCACGTCGCACACGTAGCCATTGATACGGGCGACGGGGACGGCATCCTGGATCGCCTTGACGGCGCTTTTGACCCGGAGCGGGTTCGACGATGCGACGGAGACGTCGAGACCCTCGGCGGCGGCGAGCTTGGCTACCGCGGCCCCGATCCCGGATGTCCCGCCGATTACTAGGAGGGTTTGGCCCGCTATCGGAGGCATGGCGGAGGGAGGCTGGTGTGTGGGTGGTGGGTGGAGATGGAGTTGAAGGAAAGGTTGAAACTGAAGTAGGGGGGAGCTTTACGCTTGCTGCTAGACGGCGCTATTCGTCAAACCATGACTTGACTTGTTCGTTCTATTCAGTATGATCATATAAAAGGCCATACTACGGACGGTGAGGGGAGGGGGGATTATATATAGAAAAAGGGAGATGTAGTTATCTCCGTGTAAGCAATAGGTAGCTCGTCATCAGTTAGAGAATACATAATCCTCCGAAGTGTAAGTAACTAACTACGCGTTTAACATTTAACCTCCTCAAAGGACTTTTTTTTCGGTCCGGAGTTGAATCCACCCAAGGCGGGCTAGAAGCTGTATCCGAGAACAGAACGATCCGCCATCCGCCATCCGCCATCTGACATATTCGCTATCGCGTTACTTGGAAATTCATTCGCCCTATCCCGGCTCCGAAGCGGTTGGTCGTATGTAGGGATGGCGGAGTTAGGATGGTTATTCGGAGTTAACAGAATAGGAGTTAAAGCAAGCCGAGGTTTTAGGGGTAACTTAGGTACCATTTAAGGGGATATTTGGCGACGAAGGAATTGCCTTAGGTACATATCTCCTTTTCCTCCGGTTCATTCGGTTGATTGTTGGAATTGTCTGTAGTATAGTTCTGCATATCCTGCAACCGTCGTGTTCTGTTGCCAACGCAGTGCTGATACCCCCGCTACATTCCTAACGCCGAAGAGCTCATGGCTTTATCGCTTGACGAGCGTTACACAAAGACAGTCTTGAAGATCATAATGGACATACATCAGCTGATACGTCGTTTTATGCTAGTAGATCCTATGGGTCCTATAGATTACGTTTTGTAATTCGGGGTCTAGGGTTGAGCCACTTCATATAGATATCCCTATGATGAGGAGTGGCTGCATGTATACAGTATACTTTGGTTAACCACAGACACCTAGGCTATTTCTGGCGTCAGCTCTTATCTATGTTTTCTAAATCTTAAGCGTCCAAGTGATATAGACCTTATAAAACACTCTATGTCGCTTTTAAGGGAAACACGGCCCATTCAATATTCTACTAGGTCGTGCCTTTCAGTTGACAGTATATTGTTCAACTTTTAGGAGCGACTTTAGTTAAAATATGGTCAGATCTCACTACCAGTTTAGATGAATATTAGTTTAAATGCGAATTCAAATGTCTTTATTTGACACCACCTATGTAAGCAAGGGAAAGCATTAGGTAATTTGTGTAGTCTAAAGCGCCGGTGTTATTTTCCATCCCACCTTAGTCCCGACACTTGATTGTTCAAGATATTGATGACCAAAACAGGAATATAAACAGGTGCGTAAAATACTATACAGTTAGTTAGCCGTTGTATAAAAACCATAGCTATTCGGTTGACTCCCTGTAGGTAAAATAGTGACGACCCCTATTAAATGATACTATATTACCTAGGTTGAAGTAGCCTAGCAAAGTATGTCCACCTAGACTTTTACGTACCAGAGGAAATAAGTAACAAATATCTCATAATACTCTCAGCTTAATTAGCCAAAATTTTAACTCTAAGCGCACCTAGACTAGGTCCAGCTAAATTAAGCATCGGATCTATAATACTACATGTGTCGCTTTTTATTGATTATGATTAGAATAAAAGAGAAGGGAAAGAGAAGGGTAAAACGGGCCCATCTAAGGAGTTGAGCCTCAGCGCTTAACGATTAAAATTGAATAAACTTCAAATATACCAGTATTCATATCCCGCGAAACTTAAATCACAGCGGCCTCGTGTCATTTTTTAGGGATCACAATGGCAAATTTGATTTATACCTTAGGTAATCCGTATACCTCGATCTAACTGCTTAAACACGAGAATGTGGTGAGACGGCTTCGTATAAGATTGATTCGAAGACTAATACTTGATGAAGTTTATCCCAACGCTGCTCTGCCCAGCACATAAACGAGAGCAAGACCTTGTATTCAGTCAAATGTATTATAAATTCAAGAGTACGCTAAGAGATTATGTCGATACTAGGATGTAAGAAAGCTCTTAGGGATACCTTCTTCGCCTGAGTAGCTGTCGGCCGGGACTATCATCCCAGGGTGAACCTGGAGCGAGTTCTCTAAGAGTATATATTCTTATTAAACAAGACTCGGCATAACTGGCAGGTTCGCAACTCAGGAGATTTAGTCTAGGATAATACCGCGTCTTTTGCAAGGCTTCGAGATATCTCAATAAAGTCTTAGGTACCGCTAATTTCAATACAGATTATGGTCGTATGTTAAATATCGACGGGACTTGTAAGCGTCTATTCGAGGATATTGTCATGATCGAGAAGACTAAACCTGGCTTTAGAAGTCATGCTTGTCCATGCAGCGTGTCGCCTGTCGCCGGTCGTCTACCGTCTATCGCCTATCGTCTATTGTGTACTTAATAACGGCGGTCAGAAATACCATACGGAAATTGCTCATGAGCTAGTTACTAATCTGTATGCGGGATTCGTGGCTACTGTCTTGGCCGGCGGCACCGAGGAGACAATTCGAGGCTGTAGGTGAGCTAGGGCCCGAAGAGAGTAGATCCAAACATGCGTCGCGTCCCAACACGTGGATTTGTATTTATGCCTGATATATGTATGTATATCGGGCTGACATTAAGATGCACAATCAGGTTTTACATAGGTCAGGCATAACTCCCACGAAAATGAGGAACGGACCCACGAACTACTGAAGTTCGGCCGGACGAACGGGTATGGCCCGTGGGCGAACTACATATGAGATCTCGAGACAGGTAGCCAGGATATGTCAGGTACATTGAAATGTGCACAGACAGACGACGATCAGTCGAACCAGACCGAACTATTTTGCGGATACGTTTCATGTTTTAGTGATTCAGCTGGTAAGTCAGTGTATGTACACGAGCAATTAATCAACAACCATAGATGAAGTCGATTCCCTCTCCGGCGGAGTGGCCTCTAATTCTAAATAATAAGTTTGGTGAGCAGCTTGCCCTGGTTTCCACCTTTGAACAGCCTCATCCATATCTCGGGCTGCTCCTCGATCTTAGCCTCTACTACAGTCTCGCCATCCTGCAGCTTGATTCTACCGTCCGCCGCAGCGCCGATGAGATCCTTAAGGATAGCAGGAGCCTTGTCTAGGTAGTCCAACATGATGAATCCGCGGATGTTGATCCTCATGGAGATGACCTCGAACCAGTTTCGCAGCGCCATAGGCTCGTCCGAGTTATACCCACTGACTGCGCCGCAGACGGCAATGTTACCGTTCTTCTTCATGCGCGTCAACATGGCATCCAACACGTGGCCCCCCACATTGTCCAAGTATACGTCAACCTCATCTGGTGTCACGGCCTTCAGTTCCTCCACGAAAGTCGGGCTCTTGTAGTTGATGCACGCGTCGGCACCGAGCTGCTCGCGTACCCACGCGCACTTCTCATCCGAACCAGCAATACCAATAACGCGCTTGGCACCCAGAAGCACTTTCGCAATCTGCACGGCCATGGATCCTGTAGCACCGGCAGCCGCCGACACTACAACCGTGTCTCCGGCCTTTACACCTCCGGCGTAAGCCAAGCCGGTATATGCTGCCAGTCCGGATGCGCCGAATGCACCAAGGTGATGGGTAAGGGGCAGGTTGTTGGGCAAAGGAGCCAGAGGTTGCGAAGTAGCGGCGTCCAGCACGACGAGTTCACTCCAAGTGCCGAGGTGAAAATCCATAACTAGATCTCCGGCTTTGTAATTCGGTGCCGTGGATTCGATTACCTCGGCAATAATGCCCGACCGCATGGGCGACCCCACAGGGACCGTGGGCACGTAGAAGCGCTCGGGGGCGACTGTGCTCTGGATAAAATTGCGGAGGCCGGTGTCATTGGAGAAATATCGCACCTTGCACAGGAGTTGACCTTCCTTTAGCTGCGGCAGTGTCGTCGTCTGTAATTTGAATGTCGCATCGGGGCCGGAGAGCACCGGAGCGCCCGTAGGCTTCGAAGCGAGGACCCATTGCTTCGTGGTGTAAGTAGTAGCAGTTGTTGTTGTTGTTGTTGGTGGTGCCATTGTTGATGATATGTGATAATTAGTTATTGCGGAATTTGTCTCTTTTCTTGCACTCTCATCGCCTTGATACTTATACGGATTACCTCTGCCTCGTCGACCCCAAATTTAGTACGTGTCTCCGATGTTCACCGCCTTAAATAGTGCCATATTCCCGGTCATCTCCATGATCTATGTGACTTAGTGACCTCACCGTCCTCAAAATTCGAAAGGTTGGCACAAATAAATGGTATACTAGCAATTTACTAAGGCGCAACTGGCTCAAAGAACCAGATAAGGTGCGGAATAAGAGCAAATCTGGAGAAGTTGAACGGAGATGACCGATTAATGGCTAGGCGCTTTATCCACTTGCTTCGAGATACCCCTTTTAAAAGGTGGTAGATACTACCTAGTTATACGTATACTACTCGCAGCTAAACACATATCAGCTGCTGCTATTCCACGAGAAGCCATACCTTGCGTAGGTCTGGTACAATGACCTAATTGTGGTCTCGGCTTTGTTCTTCTTACCTATAAAGGATAAATGATATCTAGACATAAGAGGATTCTGTACTAGAGAGGTTAGATTGCAGGTAGAACTTGAGGGTAAACCAAGGAACTGTTAATTAGTCCTTATTTAGGTAGCTATCTTAGCTGGCCTGTTTGGCTTCCCGTGGCCATTGCATCAGATATCCCAGATGGATACCTATATATTTCGTGGGAAATCCTGGGGTAACCTTAACATCTTATTGTTATTATTTTTATTGTTATTATTTTTATTGTTATTATTATTATTATTAAGGTGATGAATGCAAATATGGGATGCTTGTCTTATGGTAAATGTTGTACTATGTATTAAAGCATTAGAAATAACATCTGATAATCATGGGCAGTAACATTGTTGTCTCTGGTGACGTGATTACCGCTTCTAATGCCTTAGCAAGGAATATGGCTGTATGGCAAGTCGCATATCCACACCTGTCACACTAACTCTATAGCGCATCCGCTTAGTTTGAGCTATCCAAGCTAGCTTTTGGGCTAAGTTGTCGCCCAGTCGCCCAAGTCACAGCGGGAACTTCCAATTAGTTGCCTCTTCGGCTCGGCTTTACTAACGAAAACTTGGCCGCGCCAGCAACATTTTAGTCTGTCTAGGTTAGTCCAGTCTGTGTCTAGTCTGTTGAGTGACATATGTAGTGACATCGATCAAGTTATCACCCGTGGGCTACCCATAAGCCCGAACAAGCTAAAATAGAGCTTCTTTTGAAATTTGAACTAATACAAAAGCGGACCGGCGCATTTGCTACTTTAGGTACTCGGGCACGAAAAGAAATCATCTTAGGGAATACTTTCTCCGGGTTCTCCATGTTACGAAAAATCCCTAATTTGTCTTAGTATATTTCTCGTCGTAAGACTACCTAGGTACACACGGCCAGCTTCACCGAGAATAGCTTCACATTGACCGCTGTCTGCTTTATGTAACAGTGGAGAGCCTAGCGCAACTCTTTCTCCTTTACCTGACAAGCACCCATCCCAACTCGTATCGTAAATTCATAATTCATCTCTAGATGAGCATATTCTTATTTGCATGAGCCCAGTAGTATCTTATCTCATTTAATCAAAGCAGATAATTCCCATGTGAATGCCCCTCTTTGGTTTTGCCAATCGGAGATTTTTGTAATATAAAGGGGCTCCTAGCAGCCTTGCGCCCAGGAACGTACGTAGGTAGAATTGCGTGTTGTGTGGCAATGGCAAGGATATATTGATAAGGATATGCTACCTGAGTCTCGGGAGCAACACTAGATCTTGTCACCCGGCAGTTATTAGGTAGCATAACTACTTAATATACCCTATATTTGTAGCATATATTTGTAGCATACATTTGTAGCATATATACCTGAGTAGCATGCTTCCATCTTTTCTACATACTCCGGTTCTGTTTCGCAATCTTAAATTTAAACTAGTTATATCTGATTGCTATACTTCAGATTCGCCATTCGTTTATACAAGTCTTATATCAGGGCTGGAACTTGGTCTAGGTATCTTCCGGATCCATCGTCTAGTATACTACAGTATTGCGACTAATACCCCATGAACCAGAACTAAAACCAGGGACATCTAATTACATAAGAGATCCTGCTATGTTAAACCAGCGTAAGAGTTTTCAATTCAACGACCACCACTTGAGTAGACAAGGGAAAGAAGCAGGCATTTGAGAGAATTACGGGGCGCCAATACAGATGGGAAGGGCCTATGTAACCCTGGAGCTCTCCAGGTTTATTAACACTCGATTTCGATGGGTCGTTCAGGGTGGTAGCCGGATACCATACCGCTACACCCTGGATACGGGATACTCTTAATTGTCTCTATTATAAAGAACAATGCTTACCATCGCTCCAGGTTAGAAGTTGATTATTCTTCGTTTTCGGGTTTTCATCAATCAACATGTCGGTCAATGCGGTCCCCCAGGTCTACATGCCTATACTAGGCTTCGTGAAAGCCGAACTCGTCGTCAATTGTGTTTTAGTCTTTCTAGTTTTGACAACTGTCACGTTACGAGTTATAGGACGACTTAACGGACCGGGACTAGGTTGGGATGATTATATGGTTATCTTCGCGACGGTTTGTTCCTCGCCCTATGCGCCACAGCCAATATTCTGACTAGTTTATAGCCTTTAGGTGTCGGCATGTTAGCATGCCAAGGCCTTTGTAAGTTTTATTTTTTATTTTGACTTCAATCGTTAATGACATGAGAAGGGAAGCGGGCTGACATTTTGACCTAGTTGCACCTGTAGGAAATGGTTACGATTTACCTGAACATCCAGAACGTAAGTCATGCGTAAAACTACGGAGTTGACTCCCATTACTTGGCGTCTTTTTTTGTTTTCGATACATTGGCCGTAAAGTCTGAAGCCTTCGAAACCCGAGTTAATACTAACTTCTGGACCGTTCATTAGTTGCGGCCAATATTCCATTTATCCTCCAGGTACGAGCTTTATCAATATTCAACCGACTTCCACATGCGACGTTTTGCTCACAATCTACCAGTTGACATTTTGTATGCAAGTTATATATGTCACCCTATTAGCATCAGTAAAAGCGAGCATGCTGTTCTTCTTCCTGCGCGTTTTCGCCACCCCTTTCATGCAACGCGCTGGCCGGATCTGTTTGGTATTCGTGGCGGCCTGGCTGGTATCCTACCTCGCCTCCTGTATTTTCCTCTGCACTCCGATCTCAGGACAGTGGACTGGTATTGGCAAATGCGGTGCATATATCCCCATGATTCAATCGTTGATTGTGACAAACGCTATCGGAGACATTGTCATCATGGCGCTCCCGATGAAAATTATTTGGTCTTTACAAACGCGAACGACTGATAAGATTGGAATCACGTCGTGCTTTGCGTTGGGTATTGCGTAAAGCTCCCTCTTCCCCTAATCCACGAGGTTTCTGCTGACGGTAATTCAAGCTGTGTTATTTGTGCCGTCTTCCGAGTGATATACATTTCCACGGTGGATCTGAACAGCAATATCACAGGCACAATGCCTACCACGGTTTTCCTCTTCATCCTGGAGCCCAACCTAGCTATTCTCTGCGTTAGCATCCCGATGCTTCGACCGTTTTGGGTGAGATACAAGGAAAGCACTCGCGGCGCCTCCAAGATACGTGAATATTCGGATCAGCAGACTATTGGATCTAAAGGCATGAAAAATTCCAACCAAAGAAGCAAGAACGCGAATACCTTGACGGACACCATGAACATGACAACTTGGGAGATGGACGACTACAACCAAGAGGGGAATAAGTTCGATACTACGGCGGCTACGTACGCCGATGAGTCTGGGTCGGAGAAAAATCTAACCACGTCTCCCCAGTTACCAGGACAAAACGGAATTGCCGTTGAGACGAAATGGACTGTCACTCGGAACTAAAAGTTGGGATGGAGTATCTTTTAAAGGGGCATAGATGAAAGCTTTGATAGGCACACAGAATAGCGAATGTTTGAAAAAGGCTCAGAAATAGCCACACACCATTTATACACGGTACGATTATTTAATCACAAGTCTACGCAATCTATATATGTATTAATAATAATGTTATAATTGCATTGATATACGCAAAACCTTTCTAACTCAGAGGCTCTTGTATACGGAGAATATGACCGCTCATTTATCTGCCTATACTAGCCATGGCTCCCAGCATTGGAACGCGAGCTTCCCTAGGAGCATTATAACAAAGTACTATGGTTCATTTTTTATTTGACGCTCATTATACCGATATAGACCTCTTAACTATTTCATTGTTTGAACTGTATTCACACCATCGTCTTACCATTGGGTAACGTGTTGTACCTATGGCGTGTTTGTGGCTAGTTACTCTAGCTATGTATAGTTAATTAGGGGTAAGAAAATACTGTCATATAACGAGTAAGTAAAAACGAGACAGGGACTGAAACGAGGATCAGGTTCTAGATTCAGGGGCTTTAGGATCGTCGGGACCAGGAATATGTATACGATTGGAAGTAAGTGGGAAAGGGTTTTCCACTCCACCGGATCAAATTCAACCTGGTATCCGGGTTGTCGGTATCCACAAATCGATCCTTGGGACTGCATCTACGGTAATAAATGGCGTGACTATTTATAATAATGGTTGGGTTTGATTATGGCTACTCCGTCAACTCCGACGACGACCGTGCGAGCAATATGCAGAAAGGCTATACTACCCCTGTTTAAATCGGAGGAGTAGTCAACAATAAATATCGCATTCGAATGTCTGGGTAGCCCATGATATGTAATATGTAGGAGGACAATAAAGTATATAATAAAGTGACACTCAAGATGAAGATCACTTAAGAGGGCTAAACCAAGTGTTAGATCTAGTGCAGAATATATACTGTGGTCTAAGACTTCCCTGGAGGCCTGGACTCGTTTTCCCCCACCAGCGCCAAGGGTGATCGGCACTCTATCTTAGCAAGGGCCAAATCTCTGGGACACCGCGGACTTGGCGTACAGGGTAGGTTTTCATTCATCATGGATCAGTGCGTCTACAGTACATACGTCTGGCGTCGAACTGTTTGCAAAGTCACGATTTGTGCAAAGCCGAATCCCAAGCAACGAAGCAGTTCAAGTGTGGTTTTATTTTAATATCCTTCCTACTGAGCCTCCTCGTCCATAACGAATAGAATAGAGTACAGACCTTTATTTCACAGCCACTGCCTTTCAGCGGAGAGCCGGTCATCAACCCCAAAAGCAAGACATCACCGCCACTCCTCCCTTCTCCCTCCAGCCTATATGACTCCTGGCCGCCACCTGCACTCCGTCTTGTCACCGGACATTCCGTCCGTCCACCCCCACACTATGCCCGTTTTGAGACGGCCACCGGTCGGTCGCCCGTCCGCTTCATTTACTAGCTTCTCCCTTATCACGCCTTATCCTATCCTCAGCCACCTGCTTACCGCCGAGCTCAATGGGCTTAATGTTGAAGACCAACAGTGAATCTGTAATAGGACAGATTTTTACACATAAGTTGTTCAAGGTTGAGTAAGGGATGAGCCAAAGCTGCGCCACGCCAGGCGGATTTCCCAGCAAATTGCTTGATGTGCGGTTGGCAATCTTCCAATCAATTGCGCAAATCGTAGCCAACGCTGCTGATGCTAGAGATGTCCATTGTTTGTGTAGTAGATTTATTATGCTTTGTGCTACGCCAACTAGATAATGAAATTCGTATCTCCAACTGATGCCGCCGTAGGCCTCCAAAGCTTTCTAGGATATTTATTATCGCGCTTCCACATCAACATTACATCTCCTATCATACATTCATAGCATCACCTGCCCGTATACACTACAATGGAGCGCTTGACATTCGTCTACGGCGACGATGACAGCGATGACAACGCGCCGGCAGAGAAACAGCCCTTCGATGTTATACTAACTAGCTTCGAAACCAAAGTAGTCAACGTCTTCCGCCGATATCTCCAAACTGGAGATGAATCAGAAGATAGCTTGAGCTTAACTAGCGCAGCACAGGCCATCATAGACCTACTTCCGGATCCCCCAGAGCCACGAGGATGGTCAATGGAGCTCACAGTATTTTGGGAGTTGTGTATCGACACCGCCGCGCAGATCCCCTACTACCACATTTGCCAGATGAAGCTGGCACGACTCCTTCTCGCCCTACGGCATTCACCTAAGACTGCATTTACTGTTATTTGGGTCAGTATAAGGAATATTGATCACCCCATATTACCTCTATTCTACTTACTAAAAGTCTGGCAATAATAGGATCGGTCTAGGGATATTAAATTTACGTATGAATTCAATCTCTTGAATGAGACGAGTCGCGATTACTACAACCGTAGGTCGCCCTTGACAGCATTAGACCAGTCTTAACAAATTACTAATATTATATGATAGCCGCTTTCGAGCCTCAATATTCCGACGCGGATTCAACTCCCGAAGATGGCCGGCGCTGGGTCAACACAGTCGCATTTTATGCCCATATGTATGCTCTGAGCGGTGGGACGCAATTCTCTACATATTGCACTTGGACTATGCGTGATGCGTTCATGTCTACACCATCTACCGACTATGACGCTCTGGACTGTCATATATCTGCCGCTGCACAGTGGATATTATGTACAGGACAGAATATTTTCTCAGCCATCCTAATCCCCCCAGAGGAGGAACATAGTTTGGTGATATCTAGAGAACCTTGGACGCTAGACGATTGGCATCGCTGGAAGGCTGGGTTTGCAGCGGCAGAAGGAGAAGAGCATCTGCAGCAGGAAACCAGACAGCTTGCAAAGAAATCTATCATTCTGATGGAAGCACTCGAGGCTACTATGATAAGTGGTCAGCGTATGACTGGAGGATAGCTTTGCCTGGCTAGGCTATAGAGTAAGCACTCTTTAACCGAGAGGGGATAATAAAAACAATAGAGGTTTCTTATATAGGGGGCTTCGTGATAGGGGGTAAGGAATGTAAGACCATTAGGTACACTTGTTCGGTAAATCTGCGCACTATGCAAACCGTGAACTCTTTGGAGGCTATAAAAGTCAAAGCAACCAAAGAGCTTGAAATAACTGGGAAATAAATGGCAAATGGGTAGTAACTAATTGACTTTCGATAAAGACTCGATACACTTCTGATAAAAGCGCGTGTCTGCGTAATGAGCAGCCCTAACCAAATAACGTAAACTCAATTATATTTAGTTTCTAAATAACATTTCCCATAATATGATCATCTCTTACTAGGTATCTAACGTCGCAGATTCATGTTTCTATCTACTTTCTAATAGTTGACATCATTTTAGTTATAAGTTATATAGCAACTGTGATACTCCTCCTAGAAGCTCTGTTAAGAATCATAGTAACGCCATAGGAGTATATCATTAAGTGTATCGCTAGCAAGTTTCCGGTATAATCCCACTGAGCATACTTAAGTAGCATTATATTTATCAAAAAATGGCCTTGTATATTTCACCTAACGACCTTTAAAAAACGATCGCTCGTTTGACTTGTGGTTTTTTTTTTTAGTTTGTGTTGCGCTATAAGGTAGGTATCTTCGGATAGTAATTAATGAACACCCTGTCTTCTATCCTTTCCACAATGCTTTAAGCTTCAAAATAAAAGCTGAGATACACCCTAGAGATTTAACTGGTAATAATCTTAGAAATAAAAATATTATCAGCTACCTAAACATTATAACGAAGAAACAAGCTTCAAATCTAGAAGTCATCGTCATTGGAAAGGTTTATCAAATCACTAGGATAGAATAATATTATATATAAAAAAAGTCCTCGCTTTTTCCCGTCGCCAAGATGTTTAACAATAGCACATGCGGGTTTCATTAAACAACTAAACGAATGACTAGAGAAGCGTTATACGTGAACGTTACCTCTTATCACGAAACCGTAAGTATAAATAACTCCATTACTAAGTTGAGGATCCCAAGGTCAAATACACGACGTAATAGTATAAGACGAGTCTTAGCATGCGAGTCGGTTCGTCGAGCCTATGTCCGTCGAACATTACGCATAAGCCCTGGACGTACTAGGGGGTTCCCGCTACGGAAGCTAAACCTCCCTACCGAATCGGGACGAATTATCGGGCGCGTAGGCATTTTATTCGCGGGAAAATTGATCGGGGCATGATGCATATCCACTTATTCCCCCCCGTCGCAACTCATCCGCCCGCCGTCTTGCGAATGAGGCATCCAGCGCGGGGCGGTGGGCCATGGCCAACACGAAGAAATAATGTCGACTCACGGACATCGTCTGAGTTCTAGAAGCGATTTACCTATTTGGTGCTTTTTCTGGGACGATGGCAACCCGGAATCGTCTGTGCGGGGTGACATCGGCCCCCTGACAGCGCGTATGTAGGTACAAATTGCGTATAAATGAAGATATATAAATATCCACAGATACCCGTACCACGAAGAAAACTTGCTACACAGAGCCGCTTACCCTCCGTACCAAGTACAAGGTCTGGATAGACGACTGCTGGTTTTAGCGATGAAGTTCCTCGCAACAGTACAGCTTCTCGCAGCGGCTGCCGAGGCTGCTTTCACATGGCAAAATGTGAAGATCGGCGGCGGCGGCGGGTTCGTCCCTGGGATCGTCTTTCATCCGACGGCTAAGGGTGTCGCATATGCCCGGACTGATATCGGTGGTCTATATCGGCTTAATGAGGACGATTCGTGGACCGCTGTCACGGACGGCATCACGGACCATGATAATTGGCATAACTGGGGTGTTGATGCCCTTGCTCTCGATCCGCAGAACGAGAACGTGGTATACGCCGCGGTTGGCATGTATACAAACGACTGGTATGTTGTTACAGTTGGAGTTGTTCGTTAACCTTGGAGTCGCTAATACTAGACTAGGGACCCGAAATCTGGCTCTATAATCCGCAGTAGCGATAAAGGGGCTACGTGGAAGACGACTAGCCTTCCTTTTAAGGTCGGTGGAAATATGCCTGGTCGGGGAATGGGCGAGCGTCTTGCCGTCGACCCGGCCAACTCCAAGATCTTGTACTTCGGAGCTCGCAGCGGTAATGGATTGTGGAAGAGTACGGACGGCGGTGAGACGTTTACCAAAGTGTCCTCGTTTACAGCTGCAGGGACATTTATTCCTGACCCTAATGATGTTGGTGGATACAATGGGGACAAGCAAGGACTGGCGTTTGTAACATTCGACTCTACGAGCGGCACAACTGGTGGTGCTACTAAGAGAATCTTCGTCGGTACAGCGGATAACACTACCGCAAGCGTCTATGTCTCCGAGGATGCGGGTACCACGTGGAATCCGGTAAAGGGACAGCCGGGCACCTATTTCCCCCACAAGTGTACCCTCCAGCCGAAAGAGAAAGCGCTGTATCTCACATACAGCGATGGCACAGGTCCATATGATGGGACCTTAGGTGCGGTATATCGATACGACATCTCTGCGGGTACGTGGAAAGACATCACACCGGTGTCTGGCGGCGATCTGTATTTTGGCTTCGGTGGGCTTGGCGTAGACATGCAGAAACCAGGAACGATTGTCGTGGCGAGCTTGAACTCGTGGTACCCGGACGCGCAGATATTTAGGTCAACCGACTCGGGAGCTACCTGGTCTAAGATCTGGGCATGGGCCAACTACCCGGACATGAACCTTTACTACGGACTCACAGTAAGTACCTACCTAATTTGGTGAGATACTGAAGAGAACAATATACTGATACCGGTTTCCGCAGACTTCAAAAGCCCCATGGATCAAGACGGGGTTTATCGACACGGATACGAAGGATCTTGGATGGATGATAGAGGCATTGGTTATTAACCCCCTCGACAGCGACCATTGGCTGTATTCTACCGGATTGACGGTATTCGGCGGCCACGATCTGACAAAATGGGACACAGCCCATAACGTCTCAATCCAGTCGCTCGCCGACGGTATAGAGGAATTCGCCGTTCAGGATCTTGCTTCACCACCTGGAGGAAGCGAATTACTAGCAGCTGTGGGTGACGATAGTGGGTTTACGTTCAAAGATACAGCCAGTCTAAAGACCTCTCCGAAGACACCCTGGATGAATCCCATCTGGTCGACATCTTCAAGTGTAGACTACGCCGGAGCATCAGTGAAGAATATCGTTCGTATCGGCAACTCGGCCGGATCACAACAGGTCGCAGTATCAAGCGACGGCGGAGAGAGTTGGAATGTGTACTCTGGCGCGGACAATAACATGAACAGCGGCACAGTGGCTTATTCTGCCAAGGCGGACACGGTGCTTTGGTCAACATCTACAAACGGCGTGCAGCGTTCCCAGAATCAAGGCACCTTTTCAGCAGTCTCTAGTCTCCCCTCGGGCGCTGTAATCGCGTCGGACAAGCAGAACAATACCGTTTTCTACGGCGGTTCCGCAGCTAATTTCTACGTTAGCACTGATACCGGGACGTCGTTTGCGAAAGCCGGGTCTTTGGGCAGCGCCACTGCAGTCCGTGACATCGCGGCCCATCCGACCAAGGCCGGTGATGTTTGGGTATCAACCGACGCGGGAATTTTCCACTCGACTAATTATGGCTCTTCCTTTACGCAGGTCTCTACTAGCCTTAAGAATACCTACCAAATCGCGCTCGGGCGCGGTTCAGGCACGACCTGGAATGTATACGCGTTTGGTACAGGATCTGGCGGAGCCAGGCTGTATGGCAGTGCAGATGATGGGGCTTCTTGGACTGACATTCAGGGCAGTCAAGGATTTGGTTCCATTGATAGTTGTAAACTTGCTGGCAGTGGAAATACGGCGGGACAAGTCTACGTTGGAACGAATGGACGAGGAGTTTTGTATGCCTCCGGCACGATTAAAAAGCGTTCGACGATGTTTAACGCATAGTCTTCCTTTTTGTTGTAATTCAACTAGGATCAACTCCGTTTCCCCAATTCATGATAATTGACCGCATATCACAATGTCTATTAGAAAGACTCAAGTCCATGTAACTACATCCATCTTTATATGCAAAAGTGCATAGTTTTATAAAAATCAATAGTCTTGTTCCCTACCACCATTATTTCGAACATCCCACATTCTATTATACATCGACACCGAAAGGGACATCAACCGATCCTCGGGAACGGCCTCCCAGGCCCTGAGAATAGCATCTTTTAATTCCTGAGACCTCCAATTCCTAATGCTGTAATTCAATTCAAGCCAGTTCTTCACCCAGGTCAATAGGTTCTCAACGGGATTCAAATCAGGGCTAATAGGTAGCCATTCAACAGTATAAGTCTCGGGACAATCTACGCATCTAAATGTATTTGTTCTATATGGGCCGGCACGCTTTCGTGGCGATGAAGGGCCAGTGAGGGCCCTTTGAACTTGGCTATACGTATAAATCCAGTCCATTTTGACAAGTCCATGTACGTTAACTCAGGGTGATATTTCTTCAAAACTTGTATCTCCTGCCGTTGATCCCTCGTAAGCTCCTTCGCCTTTTTTCTCGTGTTCTCGGCGGTCTTATATCGCCAATGAGGACGTCGATTCGCTTGTACGGGTTGGAGGGGCCTGTTGCCGTTCAACGAGTCTTTCAGCAGGCTCAATCTTCGGCGACGTGACTACTAGCCGTTGATGACATACCCGGGCGACCTGTTCTTGTACATCCACCTTATTGTAAGATATGGGTGCGAATAGCTTCAAAACTGACGGCAGGAGAATCGTAATAAAGAGTCAAGTACTATGTAACCTCGCGGTTCCTGAAAGATGTTAGGAATTTGTACCTTTGCATACAAAATTGAGTGGCTGGTTACTTACCCGTAATAGTGGATAGAAGTGGGGTGGAGGCTACTATGTGGGTTCCAAGGTTGTTTCGGTGACGCGTCTGATAGGTTAGCCACAGAGGCACTATTATAACTTATGACGAAGCTCTTCCTTGTTCAGTTTCATTTTCCATCAGATGCTTGTAAGGTAGGTACGTACTCACTGCACAGCCATTGTAAGTGCATGTGTTGCTGGCAAAGGAACGAAAATAGACAACTAGGACAAAGTCTTAAAAGCCTAACTAAACCTGCTTCTAACTTAGAATTCCACATACTAAACCGTCATACTCATAACTAAACTAAAGAAAGTATTAAAGCACGTCAATCTAAAACACATCAATCTATCAACTGGTACGCGATCCACTCATTACCTGTTATCCATCCCTAGGAGGAGAGCTAAAAGTATTGTTATAACAGATAACTCGATAATTCATTAGCCATGGCTTGCGGCTCATCTCATTCCCTCGTCAACCGTAACGGCCCTGGCAGCGCCGCATCATCGACTTTCGAGAACATCATCAAACCCGCCGATGCCACAGGAGGCAAGACTAGATGTATTGAATGTGGCGATTTCGAATGTTGCTGTATCCCTATCCCTTGCACTGTTATGTGAGGAGACGAGATTCAGTGGTAGATGCCATATAAAGACACGATTTACGAGGCGTTATTAAACACGAACTTGCGTTTTGCAGGAGCTGGGGTTGATTTCACTTGACGATGCAGTATTAGGAGTATTCTTCATAGGATTAAATCAATGCATTTTCCTCAAGCGCATTCCCGCCCTTCCTATCGAGATGGGTATCAATACCAACATGCTTATCCATTATAAAAACCTTGACTCCAAGCCATAATCCATAAGCACTTTACGTTTACAGCTGACCAGAGAAGCAGCATGTGGCGTCCCTTCCTAGAGATCTCTGGCGACCGACGTCCACGTCTCTCTCTGGTAGCTCCATGATTCCGTCTTTTTAGACGTGGTTAACTTGTCGACAAGTTCATATTCGATCTTTAAACTGCCTAGGCCTTCCATGATACGTTCAGCCTTATCCTTAGCGTCCCGGATCGCGTTAGTCTCGGCTCGCGTACGGTCCAACTGCGCCTGCATCATAGAGATCAGCGACTCGCGGGCTTGGTGGGGTCGGTATTCGTTGATAAGGTGGTGGAAGTTGAGAAACAGGTGGCGCATGTCTTGGGTCTTCTCTTCGGCCTATAGTATCCATGTTAGAGAGAACATTGTAAATGTCATTCCACTATAAATGCAACAACGTACAGCTTCAGGATTGATAGCTAGCAATCCCGTAAGCTCCAGGAAGTTTAATAGTAACGATTTGGCCAATCTCTTGAGGATGAGTGCGCGATCAAAGTGTTTGCCATCTTGATCCCTCTCTTCTGGATTCGGAAATAGCGGCTTAACATCCGTATCCTCGAGTCGCGGAAGCTCGTCCTTTAATTTATAGGTATCTCCAAAGACTCTCCATACTCCATCCGTAGGTTCTGGTGGTGGCTGGAGGTTGCGTAGCTCGCGAGGCAAGCCCTGAAGGCGCACTTTCGAGACATCGTCAAGCCCCTCCTTTTCTGCTTCTTGCTTGCGTAGCTCGTTAATACGTGTAAGGTTCTCGGGCGTAAAGTCGCGCCAGAAGGGAGGCGGCGGCGGCCAAGTGGATGACACCAGGACTTGGTCCTCCTCCTCCATTTCGTTGTCGGTTACAGTCACAGATAGGCTATGGTATATCAAATTAATGTTGAAATAACCTTGGAAGCAATGGAGGCTATGTGGATGTGTTAATTGGAGTAGGTAGAAAAGAAGGCGTGTATTCTTGTATTTAAGGTTTGTTTCTAATAAGCTTTGAAGAGAGGCAGCTAGGTAGGTCTTATCGATTAGATTAAACATGCCTTAAGTTTACATACGAAAGGTTTATTGTGTCGTATTTATTCCTGGATGCAACCAATCAACAACACCCCTGTGAGACGCACCAACAAACTGACTTTTCCGGTAATTTTCAAATCCTAAAATGGCAAAATTCTATTTCCTAATTCTAATTCGGACACAGCTCCTATAGAAAAAATAAGTTCGACATAATAGAAAAAAGAAAATAGACCCTTCGTAAACTCAGGGCATAATAACACGGGCGATATGTTATACGTCGCTTGTGGCGTTGGCGGGCGCAACCCGCCAATATAACAAATTCGAGTGGGAGAAGCTGGGAAGAAGAAAAAACCGGGGTTTTGTTATAAGCCACTCAAGCCAAACTGCATGGGACGCGGCTCAAAAAGCTTACGTGTGCGTTGCTACCCTCCCTCGTCCTTCTCATGGTGGCGTCCTTTACTTATTAAACCTCCCTTCCCGCCGTAAACCCCCAAGAGAATGGTCATCGCGCCGGCCATACCAAGCCCTTCTCCTTGACCGGCCGACGGAGCAACCGTAAGCCCTTTAAGATATAACATTATAGAGTAAGTAGTAGCATAGTTATTACTAATAATAACTCAGAGAATATCCTTGCCTCATGTGCCCAAATCTGCGGCCGCTCGCGTACTAGTAATCAGCGATGTAGCCTATGTGCAGGCGGTCACGGCTTGTGGCAGGAGTGTGTGGTCTCCCCGGCAGCAGTGCCGGGTCGAAATACTGACCCGATGAACAGCACTTGCGCTTGCTGTTACTATAACGGCGGCGGGTCGCGCTGTTCGTTCGTGGGTATGTATAATTCCTGATGGTACAGTACGATATACCTATGTTAATATACCAGCGCCTGCCCTAGCGCCTGTGCCTGTGTCTGCGCCGGCTCTCGCCTTGGCTCCCGCCCCTACGTCAGCGGGCCCCTTCTCTATCTCTGCCGGGCCGGAGCTCGAGCTGATCTTGAGGATAGGCTGGCGGCTTTATATGCCGTAAAGAAGAAAAAGAAGAGGCGGCGCGAGCGCCGTTGATTAGAAGAGAGAGAAAAAGACCACAAGATCATTAATGAAAAGTAAAAGGTTTTATTGTTTTATCTCAGTTGACTTTAAACTAGTTAATAAGATTCGAAATCTTGTTTGTTTTATTATCTTTCCGAAGGAATATTACGCTTAAACTCAAGAAAATGATAAAGGTAATTGATAAGGAAATACATGACGAAATACATCAGTACCTAAATTTTACATAATTTAGGTACTCCGCAATTGGAGCTTCAATTGGGGGGGAGATCCATCCAAGTGCGGGGCACTTTAGAAGCTTCCTTGTGGCCTTGTGGCTGAACCCTTACACTATTAGAGCTAAGGTAATCCGGCATCTCTGAGGTCAGTCCGCCTCATTAAAGACTAAAAACTAAACCACTAAGGAGCAGCCACAAAACGATCATCACGACAATCCCTAAAACTACGCACGCCCTCTAAACCCGAACAACACATACTCGAAGCTATTCACAGATTTCCAGACAGCGGTCTGAGACTTACCAGCCAACTGACTACTCCCCTACGAGACTACTACTCATATCGGTAACACCAACGGCCGCAATGGCAGACGCCCGAGCCCTACTTCGCGCTCACCGCGCCGAGAACCGTATCAAGCATCCTCATGCCGCATACTCGGATGCCGGGAAACTATTATGCAAGCTATGCCACGAGCCCGTAAAGACAGAGGCCCTGTGGGAAAGCCATGTCCGGAGTCCGAACCATAGGAAAAGAGCACAGATACTACAGAGCAACCTCACCGAGCAGCCGCAGGCGGTATCTTCGACTGATGGGGGTAACGGCAAGCGGAAACTCGACGACGTGGACGAAGGCATGTCTGATGCAGACGGCGACGCGGAAGAGGCAATACGGAAGAAGCGTAGCAAGCCCGACCTGGCCTTATCCACGAGCACCGGCGGTGAGAAGAGGCAGTCACCTTCGGAGCTATCGAGGCGGACTTCACATCCACCCGTGCAAGGTGTCGAGATCGCGATACCGTCGCGACCCGCCACGCCAGCAGCCAGTTCCAGCCCCGCGACCTCGACGCCTAAGGGCGCTCCCGTCGGCCGCTCACCGCTCATCGACTCCGAGACCACATCTATATCTACATCCACGCCCTCGAACCTCCCTATCTCGACGCAATCTCTCTCCGTACCATCCTCCACAACCACAACCACAAGCACAACCACCGCCCCGCCACAACCCCAACCATCCAACGGCGCCGTAGACGAAGCCGAATGGGCTGCCTTCGAAGCCGAACTTGCCGCCGAACCCACACCAACATCCGGTCCGCAAGGCTACTCCGCCGACGCCACCATCTCAGCACCCGCAATGACCGCCGCCCAGATCGCCGCTAAATCGCAAGAAGAAGAGAACGAGCGGCGGAAGCACCTCGTAGACGCGCAAATCGCCGACGAGCGGGAAGACGCGACGCGTGCGCTAGAGGCCGAATTCGAAGAAATGGAAGAGCTAGAAGGGCGCGTGCGGCGGCTCAAAGAGCGCCGGGAGCAGCTGCGCAAGGGCAGCGTCGCGAATCTCCGCAGTGCCGCCGCCGCCGCCGATGATGACGTAGTCATGGCTAAGAGCCCGGCGGACGGCAAGGAGAATAACGACTCCGGTATACCCGAAGAAGACGAAGACGAGGAGGATGACGACGAAGATGATGATTGGGTTGCATTTCGACTTCGGTAGGAGGGGCACGAAATTAAGAATTTGTATAAGGGAGGGATGATGACGAGACATAATAATACTGGACCCGACTTCAGCTTGATTAATAGGAAAAGGGGGTACTACTTTGCATAGGGCCACGACGGCGTTATTCTGAGCCTTGCCAATAAAAGGACGGCGCATAAGGGCTAAATGAATTCAAAAAGGTGAGAGCATCTAGTTGCATTTATCTGGGACCCGGCATTAGATACATAATTGCTTCTTGTATTGATGTACATACAATATTATACGATAAGGGAGATGGACAACTCCCAAAAGAGAAACTGAAAACCAATAGAGATATCCCCGGAACACCTAGTCATTAAGTTACATCGTTCAAAAGGAGTCATCAAAGCGCAATGTCCTCTGCAGAAATAGCAGGGCCTAGTTCACCTGTAATACAAGTGCTCTCACTAATGAGCTCTTACCTTCGTTAGCCATACAGCATTCATCAATCCAAACTGGGCGTCATTTGTAAAGGTAGAGGTCGGTATCTATCGGCCAGAGACAGATAGTAATATGTGTCGGACGGATCTAGCCTTTCAAAAGGTAAATCAGGTGCTCCAGCCCACGCCCGGCGCGTCGTCACTATCTCTTCCTACGTGTTCCCAAAACTTCCTCAGTCGCCATACCCTCCCGACACCGGCACGCTCCTCCCATTTCTTGACCCCTTCGCTTCTTTCCCGCACCTCGCCGCGCCAGACAGCTCCGACCCATCGCCGGAGGCCATCCTTGAGCTTCTCCTTCTCAACGGCGCGCTTCTTAGCAATGAGGCCAGGCGCTACACTACTCTCTACGACTTCTGGCGGAAGCACGCCGCGCTGCACCAGAGACTCGGCGGAGGGCCGGAGCGGCAAGCTGCGTGATAGCCGGATTGACACGAGGCTGCGCGCTAGCCGCCGCGAGATCTGCGTCGTGTGGGTTAAGAAGATGTGGCGGGAGATGAGCTCCGTGAGGGTAGGCCGCGAGGGTGAAGTTAAGAGGGGCGGAAGTGATAGGCGGGCGCGCCGGAGGCGAAGGGTGTGCAAGATAGGGTGTAAGGACAGAGTCCTAAAGTGATGATTAATCTACCTCTACCGTTAGTATAGTATGATCTACGAAGCACTGTATCATTTGAGGATAGAAAACCAATGGAAAGGGCATATTAAACCGATATCGACGCGCGGCTACGTTTCAACGGAGCCTTTGCGCGAGAAGAATTACGAATATGAGAATAATGGCTCATAGCTAGGTTGCATGCGGGAGTGAAACCTGGAGGTCTCCGACCCGTATAAAGCCTTAACCAAGAGGACGCCGGCGTATAAGCCGAATACTGTATCGACATCATGAATATGTATAAGCCAAAGGACAACATACCCTTGAAATGGCTAGTAGATCGCTCACGTCTAAGAAGGTGAGTATATGCGTCAAGATCTCATTCGGCAGGCCGTCCAAACTCAGGAAGTCCCACCCCCAGCGCAACAAGGTCGACCCTCTTGTCACCATGACGTCTACTAATCTTTCCCTGTGAGGGCTTTGTCTAGAGGTAGATGACGCATTAAGTGTAGATAGAGGCGGCCTCGACGATGAAGCCGCCGTATCTGGCGATAACCATGAAACATGCACAACTTGACCCGCGGCTGGCCGCATTCCGTCATAGAGCATTCCACAGTGAGTTTCCAGAGTTTCCAGGTGGTCGGAATCTAAAGAATCCGCAACTAAGGCACCTGGTTGGGCATCAACGGTGGTGACCGTTCTCGAGACCGGCTCCCGTGAGGTAGTATCGCCACTCTCGGCAGCCGGCGGCGAGAAAGGCAAAGACGTATGCGGCACCAGCGTCGTGGTGTGACTCGACATGGCCAAGGTCAGATCGCAGGCCCTAGTGACGAGATGCTGTCCCAAGTCGGCTTCCCTGCGAGTTAGACGTTCCGACATGTTTACAGCCTAGCCGAGATAGGAGGTGCCAGGTAGCAATAGTGATGAAGTGGCAGTAGGGATAAGTCTCCTCTGCTATGTGTATCTCCGACGAAGCACAGAGTAGGATGAGAACTGTATACTGTACAAGGTCAGCCCTCGGTGAGAGATTGCGTGAATATATGCCGCAGGACAACAGCAAGACACGATGGTGAGTGTCAACCGCTGTGTCTTATGCCAGTTCGATAAGATCCGAGCTCCCCGAGTGGTCGGGGACGCCAAACCGCCAGAATAAGCAATATAATAAAAGGTAGGCAAGTGTCTTATGCGCGGTTAGCTATTTGGATCGGAAAATACATATTTTGTACTGTGTGTATGTATGTTCGTGTTCCGTTAAGCCTATATCAACAGCTGTTAATACCGAGTGAGGCGAGCGACAGCTACCTAAGGAAGCTATTCCCAGCCGGTAGGACTTACGTAGGTACGGGGTTATTAATGAGGGGGGGAGCAGAAGGTAGCAGCGCGAAGAGTGGGAGGGATTAACGTGTCGTAAGAGGTATGTATTGAGGCATGTATTGAGGTATGTAAGTAGTGGCGTTGATAAGACGATGCAGTTAATAACACACGAGAGCCAGCTGTCAACTATCTATTGTTAGGGGTCGAGATCATAGCAAGGCAGCACTTTAAGGGCGATAGGATGATTCATCAAAACAATTCAAGCAAGCAAGCAACCGCAGAAATGTGCCTGAGCCTTGAGGAGCCTTGAGGGGCTTTGAGGGGTATGAGGGGGCTGACAGAACAGCAGAACGGGGACCCTGTTTGCATATGTTTGCATGTGTAAATACCTACCTAGGTGAAGCGCGAGGGCGTTGGTAATAATCCTAGTCGAAATGGCGAGCGGCTACAGATAACTACAGATAATGTGTGTTCGAAGATGGCCCGTGATACGAAACACAATTCGTTTCCAGTTCGTTAGGAACATCGATATGTACATAAAGATGGAAAAAGTACCAACATCATGCCGGCATGCACCACCAAGGCACTTGCAATTCCTTCGTGAACGCGTACATACCTCATAACATTAGGTACATAATGTTAGGATGTACCTAACCTTATGTTAGGTTAGATTATGTACTTCAACGTTGATGATAAGGCAGGTACGGAATACATCTGTACCAGACATCATGCGCGCATGTAGGTACGTACCGAGATACGTGATGTCAACTCTCATGTCATCTCCACGTTTAGCTAAGCCAAAAATGCAAAATGCACAGACCCTCAGTTAAATGCCCGGTCACAGTGTCCACTGTCCGGGATGTCGGAATTGATTACAGTGCTGTTACGCTGATCTTGCAAGTACAGCCCTCTGTGTAAGTCATGTAAGTCATGTAAGTCATTAAACACCCGAAATCGAGTATAAATAAGTTAAAACAACTACAAAGTACCTGGCAACTACCTACCTAAAGTATACGCTCAATCTCTATTAATGTTGTCTGTTTTATAAGTCTTACATACATGGACCTAATGTATAATGTATAATGCATGTAAGGGCTAAAGAGAGCACCCTGGATTTTCAGGTACGTAGGTAGTGCCCGTTCGCAGATTACCCCGAAGGAAAGCCGGTCAGAATAGTAATACGTATAATCCATATGTGCAATCTCCTATTGTTACCTCCGAAGCATTCCCACCCTAGCAAGCTTATAACTTATACCACATCTAGTGGGATAAAAGGGCCACACTTAGTAGCCTACCTACCCGATTTCCGATTTCCTCGTTGCAATGCCAGATCAAGATCGTAGCTGTACGGAATATCGCACGAGAGCGGGACCAGATGATCCAAGATTTGTGACTTATATACCTAGGTACAGGACGGCAGATGCGTTCTCTACATAAGTAAATATTTCTGCTCATCCCACTCCTACCTAACCTAACTATACATAGGTAATATTTTAAATTCCGGGGGTGGACCGCGCCGAGGCAGACGGGAGATCTACGGAACAAGTTCGTCATGGTATTTTAAACAGGGCTCTTTTCAAGCGCGGGATGTCATAGCTAAGCCATATGCAGATCACGCGTAGAGAAGGTAGATGCATATAAGATAGGTAGGTACATGTATAGTTATAGTAAGGGTGTGCTTATATTGATCCTTAACAGGGCTTTTGCTAGGTACCCCACACGTATACTTCCATTGCATCGTGGTCGTTTAGCTTAAACACAGTATCGGAAAGGAACAGGGGTAAAATCAAAACCACACATCAAGATGTACCTAACAAATACATTATACATGTATATAGTTACCTATCTAGGTAGTCTAGGTAATGTGTTGTCCAATCTAGTCCCATGTCTCGGTACAGTAGCGGCAGCCCGAGTAGTAAGAAAACATGGTCCGAGTTGTACTATACCTAGAGTCTTAATAGAGGTGCTATTATGGGGTCCCGTACAGATAACCTTAGTTAGTTAGACCAAGGTAGACATTCTACCACCTGTCCACTAACACTATAATTTTAGACTAGTTACCTATAGGTATGCTAAGTTAGGAGGTACACATATAATAGTCCCACGTGTAAGTCAAGCCAATAAGCTCTCCGCGCATAGACTAATGTAGCCATCTAGAGCAAGCCACCTACGATCCCCCGGAAACCTAATCTTTCTCAAAGGTCTAGACAGAAAAAGAAAAGCCTTGTCTTACCTAATCGCCATGAGGCTACCTATTCCTCCCGGCCCGGAAATTATAACTAGCAACTTTCTTGTTACTTGTCACGGTTCCCGGAAACCCGCCCACGCGTTACATTATGTACCTGACATATGAAGAACGTGGTGCTGTAAGTCAGAATGTTCTCTCGACACAGAATGACGTGGATCTTACCCTCCCAAAGACACAAGTTCCCTGTAAGCACCGCCGACGAACGGTGGAGCTCGGTACGGCCTGGAGGGCCGAATGCGGTCTCCTTTTCTGGCCGTCAACGTGGTCGCGATCCCTCCGACCCCCCTTCGGCCTCTCTCTTTCGGTTGGCATCAGTGCCCAATGAACAGGAACTCGCACTTTTCGTACCACCGGCCAATTGGGCTCCGAGAGCAGGCTAAAGGGCGTGGCCAACATGCCCAGTCTTTCTTCTCGTCTCGGGGTGAAGCAACACAGGTAGCCGGCCTATACCTTCGTGTGTATAGCGAGCTAGCTAACTATGTACATACTTTCTCGACTAACTAGCTGCAACCATGCGATGCAAATGGATGGGAAACTAGATCACCCTGCATACTATCTATGCGATGCGAGCACATCCGCTGTGGAGTATCTGTGAACCCATTTCCAGGCAGAGTCGGCAACCGAGCCGTTCCAATCACTTACCCTTGTCTGACCTTGAAAGTTGATGGCATTGAAGGACAACTCATAATTCCGTCCAACCATGAATGGTGTGGAAATTTAGACAGCCATTAAGGATGAGTCGATGAAGCCTCGTTCGGTACTTCTGGGAGACGGTGAGCACAGAGGCGTACATTTGCATGAGGGTTCGACAAATCCGAGCGATCCTATATATACGAGCAAATGTAATACCACATAACCAAAGAGAAGCTTGGATGGCGAATCAGGCAAGAGGCTCAGGCAGGTATTACATACCCCTTCTCCTTTCGGTAGGCCATACCAGAGCCTTCAAGAACTATTCTATCGACATCCTCCGGATCGAACTAAGATACATCCCGCAACATTTACTTCTTTGGTTCCGGCCCCCAACCAATGAGCTGGCACTGCAGGGCTTCGAGAGGCTGTTAACAAACCAGGAACACATGTATGATCTCCTCTCCCTCTAGCCCAAGGCTCTCGACGGTGGGTTCAGATGCATACCACTACGTCCAGGGGGGGTCTTGTACTCCCCACGCCCCCCAAGGGTAGCACACCTTTATAGAGACAAAGGTGGGTAACGGTGATGGGAAAGTGTCTCGGAGGACGTGACGTATCATTGGGTCAGAGGTGTAAGTAGGCTCTTCTGCTTACTCTGAACTAAGGGAATGCGCATATCATTTCTTGCACATGATTTCCACATAGTGTGGCCGGAATTATCATGGTCTTCGTAGAACTTTCCATGGCGTCAAATGTCTCAGAGATCTTGATTGGTCAGTTAGGATTAAAACTCAACGTCGGATCTCCCCCTATTAGAAGCGATGATTTACATTGATGATGCAGCTGTATAGCTAGAAGCGATGGTTTTCTGACGGATAGATCAACGATTGCGTCTAAATCTATGTACGGAACGGGCCGTGGGGTACGAGACCAGGCGCCCATAATTTCCCGGACAAAGGATTTATTCACAACACTACTTGGCCGCCTAAGGCGGCCTTGTTGACCCAGGGTTCGCGCTTTGCACGTAGCATGTAAGTGAATGCAAACAACGATGGCAATAGTAAAAAGCATCACCTCAACATTACACCGAGATTCGGATTTCCATATTATTATCCCTTGCCGCCGGAAGAAACCTCCGTTTTACTAGGACACGGGTCAACTCCATTTAGCAGAATAACACGCAACGTTGCTACTAAATCATCAGCTAATGTGCCATGGCGTTGTCCTATATTATAGAGCTAAAAATGGAACTACCTATGGTCATATCTTGCCATATGTACGTAGATGGAGCAAACGCCTCGTACGCGTGAGATCATGTTACGAGCTCAGCATGGCACTAGGTATTTTAACAATTGGATCGTCCGTGGCACAACAAAGCAAGATAAACTTCATTCAGGAACGAGATCTAATTTGCAGTATGTATGTTATTGTAATATTTCGAAAAGACATCTACCCAAATATGTCATTGCCGTTTGTAACACAGCAAATTTCACCAGCGTACTGGTCCCTTTAGCACAACATCAAGCCTAATAAGGAGCCTACCTGGATGACATTCTCTTGTGATTTACATCGTAAGGAACTCACGTTACACCCACCAACATCGAAAAATCGTATGGGGTTATACCGACCCCATCGAGTGTGTTTGTACATTAACTCTTCTGGTATAGTCGTGTGAGCAGGTACCGAGAACTAGGTAGATGCGGCCATGATCGCAGCGGGTCTTTTGACGATGATAAATTAGGAAACACTAGGACCCTCTTCGATCCCCAGACTTCGTAGGCACGCATCTTGCACAGGCCGGGGGCGAAATCGTGCAGGTGGGCCTGGCATGGCCAGAAAATCATTGCCACGTCGCGGGCCTAACCAACCCGTAGAAGATCTTGAGAGTTTACCTGACTCGTGTATAGCCAGAATAGGAGATGTCTATATGTGTCTTGATGTAGTTTCACGTGAATGGAAGGTTTTGTGGTATCGTGGGAAACAATTCCCCTGGGCCTACCTATCTGGCCTTGGATAGGCGGCCGCAGAGAGGGGAGCCTACTTCCACGACCCAAAGGTGTACTGCTATCGACGAAGTCGTCATAGTAACCCAACCCCCCTGTATAAACGATGTGTTGTTCATTTTCCGGGAAAGGCTCAGACAAGACGAAAAGAAAATTTCCGTAACTTCTGGGACGGGTATTTCGGATGCTGAGAAATCTCAAGCTACGAGTAGTGGATGTTAGCTGCAAGTGCTGGCCAGAGTGCATCAGGAAGATATCGTCTTTCCCGATGTGGCTTGATGATGAGCTGGACAAGCTCGAAAACATTGTCGATGGAAACCCAATCAAACAAAATCAGGCGAGAAGCGGCAACAGAATAGTGTGGCAAAAGCAATCAAGTCTGCTAGTTTGATAAACCACGCAATATGGGACCGTCTAAGCCTAAACGAAAACACCAGCTTCGTCTGCTATAGTTAGATGCAGGATATAGTCTTCGGAGTTTTAGGGCAAGTGACTGGGCATCTGTTTAAGGTAATCACCCGAGACGTGGCAAGGGACGAAACATGATCCCCTGTTCCAGTGATTGACAGTACATGCTCGTCTTAAAAGGCAAGTTGCCTCACAGGCCTTAGGGGGGGGTAGGAGACCTACCCGCGGCTAGCCAGATGGCTTGCATAGGCAGGCAGTGGGGATAGGCCACATCCTGGTTGCAGACGGGAAAGGATCAAACTATGCGTGCAACGGGGGTGTAGTAACAGGGTGTCAAATTCGAGGCTGATGGGCTCACGTCCCAAGGTTAAGGGCGGACCGCACAAAGACGTCAGAATCGACCCAATAGAGAACAGCGAAAGGGGAAGAGGGGCCACCATCTATCTTTCTCGAATCAAGTAGCTGGTAAGCTACTCATCAGTCAGGGTACTCGTAGGCTGTATCCAGAGTGGGGAAGTTGAGCCGGTGGAAATTGAAGCACTAGACCAACGTGGCATCCATCCAGCATTCTAGGAAACATGTTAGACGGACTGGCTGCGAAATGGACATGCAACCCCAATTACCAGACAGGCTGAGTTGTCAAACGGCCAATCCTCAGCGGTTGCTTGTAGTAACTCTGGACACAGTGTCGACGAATATGTAGTGAAAGGTTAAGGGCCAACGCAAGTCGAGAACGAGTACCGGGTGGGAAGGGCAAGAGGGAAACTCAAGGCGTGAGCGACAAGTATAAGTATTTCTGTCCCCCCTTAATTGATGTCACTTGCACCTAATGGTGGAGTAACCCGAACCAAGATTTCAAGAACTTCAGTCGATATAAAAATTAAATAAAAAGAAGAAGAAGAAGAAGAAGGGAATACCAGTCTCAGCCTCAGCCTCAGTCTATCGTGAACACCAGCAACAATACCTTGGTTGATATCAAGAGTAATAAACTGCTTGACGGCCCACGTTCCTTTTCGACAGAGCTACGCGTATCGGCTAAGCTAATCAGCGGACCGCCACGCCGGGTTTTCCCTATTCCAGACCAACAACTCTCCCGAACGGTGAACGATGTGCTATTTCGAACAGACACGCTGGATGTGTGGGTATTGGCGATGGGGCCACTTCCGTCAACAATGTACGAAGGAGTATCGAACCGGGGAGACGTGCGGGCTGAAGCTGGTATACTGTACCAACCAAGAGCAAGATAACTGCAAACTCTGCAAGGACATCGAGAAGAAGCAACGGAAGTTCACCAAGCTCCAAAACGACATCTACCGGTGGCAGAGGGAAGGAAACCGGACGGCAACGATCGAGAAAGCCCAAAGGGATATGGGAGAGGTCGACGAGGCAATCCAAAACATGCTTCAACAACATCATAATAGGCAGTACTCGGTGGTGTAGGCACTCTGTCTGGTCAACGGTGTACGCGATGGCGGGGGTGGTCAACACGACTACGAGATATCAGTAGAGTTTCACTCATCAAAGACTCAAGAGGGGGTTTTATAAGAAGAACTCAGAAGAGCAGGAGAGGTCAATCTCAAAATTTGGAAATGGGCATTTTTGGAAGGTCATGGTCTTGGTCTCTGAATAAACACGTTGGAAAGCCGGTCTTTTGTACGCTATACTCGATGCGATTATCTGATTTTTAAAGAGCTAGAGACCTCCGCAGTGGTCCACCAGGATCAAATCTTGGATTCTTAAATAGATCTTATACGTAAACCACTGCTCTTGAAGGTTTCTACTCCCTCGTCTCTTCTCCGCTCGCGTCTACGATGGATAGTTCAAGCCGGTGACCGTCTGGCGGAGACTTTACGAAGAAAATTAAGGGGTAAAAAAAATTTCATCAATAGACGAAAGCATTCAGAAGAGCCACAACTAGATACGTTCACCCTGGCATAGTGATGAAAATGGGCACAACGGAGATATCACTAGATTAGACTATTCATATAGACCGTCAGTATGTAGGAACAGAATGTAACCGGGGGTTGAAAAAACTGGGCGGTATATTATTCTTGTGGTATCGTCTTTGGTAGGTGGATTATTATTATCAACCTGTTAACCCTAAATGAGTGGAGGAGACCGGGTGACACATGGAATTTAAGGGGGGTGGTTGCGGCCCTTCCCGGATTCCCCGCTCACTGGCTAGAATCTGACGCACAGACTCCCGTTTATAATTCTAGAAAACAACATCGTGAGCCTCTTCGGCCCGCGATTCTTTATACCCTTCAATACCGAACCCGGATGAATAATACCTTTTAAGAATATAATACAAAAATATCTATAGAACCGCGTACCGAACAGGCCGGACTCTTATAGGAACCAACTCGCTAGTAAAGAAAATGATATTGACTAGGCACGTGTCTACCACTTAATGGACTTGCTTCTCTTTAGGTCCCCCTGAAAGCCAATCCCCGATTGGTCATTTCAGCACTACATATGTAGGATTGATTCGTCGACTTAATTTAGTATGTGAATCTCGCTCTCCCCCGCTGTATAACCCAATATTGGACCAGAATAAGACCCGCCACAAATCTTGGCTAGGTCATAGAAAAGTCCATCACCAAATCGGTCTTTGATCGGCTCGTATTCCGCTATCAATCGACGGAGTCAAAAGGTATCCATATGGGCAGACTTGCGTCATTAACCCATTCAAAACTAGCACTCTTCATAGCCGCGTCGCATTTATATCTCCAAAGGTACCCACAAGTAAGCCCCCTACTTCATCCTTAATACTAGGGGGTCTGCCTTGTATCTCGACAATATCGTCATCGCCTAATAACCAGTCTGCGGTGCCGGAAGCACTGTCTGTGGGGGGAGTTTCGCCTTCTCGCGAAAGCTTGGATAATATGTTTTGGTACCGGGCTAAACGGGCGTCTTGCCCTGAGAATAAAGCAGGTTGAGTCCTCTGAGACTCCTGTGAGGTGATTTCAAAGACGTCGACAAGATTACTGAAATCATTAGTATATTGAATAAAGAGCGAATATGAAACCGGAATGCGCATACTTAGACGTTCGCGCCACTACTCTCTGCAGAGCTTCCACTTCTCGCTGCGACTCAAGCGGGTCGGCTTGAGCGTTTAAATTATGCTCGCCAAAGCTTCCATACTGGAGATTATTCGGGTCGTCGAAAAGTAGTCGGGATACGTCGTCCTTTTACAATTAGCCAATGCTTACAAGATAATACATATAAATATCCCAGGCACATACTTCATCGTAGGAATCGCGGCGCCGGTGGCCGAGGCAGGAGGCGCAAATACCCATTTTGTGATTATGGCGGATTGAATATGAAAAGGAAATTCAGAGAAATTGCGAAAAAAGGGTGGACTGGGACATATGCCCTCTGCTAAGGTTTAATAGAATAGAATCATAAGGATCGTATAATCTGCCTGGTGGCACCGGGCGAGAGTTAGAATTTTGAATGCTCGTCGCAAAAGGTTGAAGTTGAAAGAATTTGGGGAACGTCCCGGTTCATGCGCGACGCGGGACTACGTACCTACTTGGAGTATCTCTTGGTTAGCTTGGTTAGCTAGCTTGGTTGGGTACCTACCTTTGAAGAGGCTCGTGCGCAATTAGGTAAGCGTAAAGCGTCTAAAGTTGAGCAATCAGTTACCTACCTAGGTAATGACGGTATTGTTCCTTAACTTTTAAACTTCGACGATACTCCTAATTTAAACCCCTACTAGATGTTCCAGATGGAAGGTACGAAGTCCACTATAAGGATCCCATAAATTTAAGATCTATCAGTTGGACTAGTGCCTAACCACTTTTAGGCTTCAATCAAGCTCCTTATTTTCTCTTTAACAGGTACCTAGTCTACCTACCTAAGTTATCAACTTCACATCAGATGCTGATAGACCAAGAAAATCTAGACTACCTTCATAGGTACCTAAACTATCTTTACTCACTCTTCACACGAGTAGCTTTAATATGAAGATATCTAACTTCATCAGATTCAAGGCATCATCTTAAGTCTATTCGCTATCCTAGAATTGGCTCTTAATGCGCTGTTGTCAGTGCACGTCTGATCAAGCCGGCAATCTCCGTGATATCATCCTTGTTCGTCTTTTGACCTCCCATGAGGTACAACACATTGCCCAAAACCCGACTATGGATATTCCACATTGTCTCTCGGTTACCCTCTAGTAAAGCACCTTGTAGCTTTAGGGCTGCGTTACTCTTATAGCCTAGGCCATCTGAAGCATTCATGTGAATAGCAAGCACACTACCGAGAGCCCAGGTCCCAGCTATAAGCTCTGTTTGATTCGAAATCCAATTCAATAAATCCCAGGGCCAGATGGACCACACCTCGGGTTTCATGGCACCAGACTCGCCAAGTAAAGAGCCCGACCAGTCACTGCTTTTCGCCCAATCCCATTCGCCTCGCTTCTCCATAGCCTGCATCTGTCGCAACGACTCTACCGCAACTTGACAGCCGATAGGATGGGCTGTGTAACTATGTCCGTGAAGCAGGGCATCAGCTTTGTCGTCACTCTCAAAGGCTTTGAAAATGCTCTCAGACGCCAATGTAGTGCTGAGTGGTACCAAGCCGCCAGTTAAGAGCTTGGCATGAACAGAGACATCAGCCTCGGTTTTAAGAAACGACGATGCAGTAAACCTCCCGAGTCGATACAGTCCCGTGAAGACTTCATCGAATATGACGGGAAGGCCAGTCCAAGACGTAGGATCCGAAGTATCCGGCTTGGGACATGAACCGAAGAGTTTTGCTGAGCGACGGACGACGTTGACAAGAGCACGCTGGAAAAGGGGGTCCCTGTATACAAATTAATCTTTGCCTTTTCCAAGAGAATCAACTGCTCGCTTTTTACTTACACCAACTCCATACCCCCAGCTCCGATCACCACCGGCTCCATAAGTAAAGCACCAAACTTTCGGCCCTTGCTAACGTAATACGATAGTTTCCCTTCGATATACTTCTCATACGCCTGTTGTTCGTCGTTTGATTCTCGAGAGTCGATATCAAATACATCGGATAGACTATCGAAAGTCTTGTTGCTGCCAAGATCCGCTTTCAACTCATCGGGTATTTCGACGATCCATTGGCCATGGCTACACTTGACATTCGGGTAGTTAAACCAGATACCTCTTCCGTTATACCACTCGATGTTTTCGTTATACGTACTCGGCTCGGCACAATCCATGGCACCCATGGTGTCGCCATGATACCCACCCTTTAGTCCAATGATTCCGATATCTGTACTCGCATCCCATCCGTACCGGAGTCTAGCTGCTCGTAGACCCATCTTTACCGCAACCTCTACACCTGTGCTGCCATTGTCCGAATAAAACACGCGAGTAAGGCGAGGATTCCTCATCCCATATAAGAGAGTGTCTGCTAGGGCTAGAGCGGGCTCGTGAATGGCCCCAGCAAACATGACATGGCCGTAGCGACCTGCTGCGTATGCTGCGGCCATCGTGAGTGAGGGGTTGCCGTGTCCGAGTCCTTGAGTCCACCACGACGCAGAACCATCAAACGAAGGCTGCAAAACAGGTGCATGCTGATTGATTGCCCTTTCTGCTTTTGGTACCACAGTCTGGAAGAAGTCCCCTCGGGCACTGTCGATAGCGACAATCTTGTCGGGCGAGAGAAATGTATGTTGCGTAAAGGGGTACCATATTCGTTTATATGCGTCTCCAGGCATTGACTCGAGCCTCTCAATTCGAGCCTGGTGCTTGCGGTTCAGATGCTCGAGGATATTGCGAGTGCCTGTACTCTGACTTTCATCCTTGTAATACTGCAGCATCGCCTTCGCGTCGGCATTTTCATCCTGCGCCCTTGGAGGGGGTTTGGGGAACGATGCAACTGGTATACCATGAGAGGCTGTGAAGTAGTCTCTTAAGTACTTCTCATTATCATATTCGCTATCCTGGAACACGAGGATACTCTCAACATCATATCCGCGCAATTTTAAGGACTCAAAAGCGGAGATGGTTAAAGAGATTCCTCCGAGCTTGGAGTCGGCGATAAGTATGACGGGGCATCGAACTGCTGCATATAGGTCCGCTTGCGTAGTGCCTGTCGGCCCAGGAGAGTGAACGCCGCCGGCAGTTTCTATGAAAAGCCACCCGGGTTGTTGAGCCGCACTCCGAGATGCGAATTGATATATCCTAGAAAGGAGCTCTTTATCCGAAGGTACTAACTTTATAGCCAATTGTTAAGTCGCCAACATCATCAAGGTCAAAGGCAAAGCGTTTCGTACCTTGCCCTTTGCCGCAGCATGCGGGCTCATCGCCAGATCATATTGCAGCAATGTTTTCCGAAGGACCCCAGGGGCGTATCTTTCGATATGGCTATATTCACATCAACACATGTAACCCAATGTTTTCTACATTCACTCTCCTATAACTCCTATAACTCCTATAGGTTAGTATTATCGGTTTCACAAGACAGAGTAGCCAAGAGCTCACGTACACCGATCATCGGCTTCATCTTCCGGGCCTGTTGAAACGGGCTTAAGGTACGATGTCTGCTCTTTTCTCCATATACTATTGGCAGCCCTGCAGAGAAGCGTGGCTATGATGGTTTTGCCAACATCAGTGTTGGCTCCATAGACTTGAAAGACTCGAAGAGAGCTCCAAAGCAGAGGGTGGGCGGGTGCCATTTACACTACGCCACCCTCGTAAGGATTATGAGTTGCTTCTTGGTGTTGTTAAAGGCAGGTAAATCCAGATGCTAAATTACGTGCTAAGTAATATTCTCAATTAATCCGGTAAAGCAACAATATATACCCCACTACCCTGCAGCCGTAACATCGGTCCGGAAGTGTTCATCTCGTACTAGGGTGTACCTAGATAAGTAGTGTAATGATCGACATATGATCAACATTATACAGATGAATATAATTGTAGTCGGCCCTCATCCTTTGGGCGCTCAAATCACAGGACAGCAATGACAGGTACACGGAGGCGACTCGATGATACCCTTGGGGAGGTCTTAGCACGTCGAAAAACTCACGACAGGCTCAGAAAGCTGAGCAATACTCCGGCCAACTTTGTCGATTTTTCATCCAATGGCTATTTGTCTTTATCGACAAACCCGGAAATTCAGAAATTATTACTCTCTCGCTTACAGGCCGAAGTCGCAGCCCCGGATGACAGCAGCGGATCGCGCGATTCGCGTAGGTCGCTCCTCGGCTCAGGGGGCTCTCGTCTCCTTGACGGCAATTCGCCATTTGCAGAGTCGCTTGAAGCTAAAATTGCCTCTTTTCATGGTGCGGAAGCCGCACTTCTGTTCACTTCCGCATATGATGCCAACACTGGATTACTTGGTTCTGTCCCGCAGCCCGGGGATGTAATTCTCTACGACGAGCTAATTCATGCGAGCGTTCATGACGGAATGCGTATGAGCCGGGCCACTAGAAGGATCCCATTCGCGCATAGTTCCATATCAGAGGCCCAGCGGGGACGAGTTTCCGACACCAAGGAAAGCCGAGCGGCTAGTGGCAGTAAGAACTATGGGCTCGATCATGTTCTGAGGGAATTAATGAAAGATGAGCGCGTCACTAACTGTCAAGCCAACGTTTTCATTTGCGTGGAGGGGCTTTACAGCATGGACGGTGATACTATACTCTTGAAAGAAATTGTTGAGACGGTTGATCGATACTTACCATCTGGAAACGGATACATCATAGTCGACGAAGCGCACTCGGTAGGTGTGTTCGGCAAAGATGGCCGTGGGCTAGTATGCCAGCTCGGCTTAGAGAATCGAATATGGGCGAGGGTACTTGGTTTTGGGAAAGCGATGGGTTGTGCCGGAGGTATGTATTCTGTGCCCGTCCGCAAATATTTCGGTATTTTATTAATGAACTTGGCGCTTGCTAAGATACTGTCACCACCGAGAGTATGAGTATTAACACATCCCGCTCTAGGCGTCGTTCTATGCTCCCCTATTACTAGATCTTACTTGATAAACTACGCCAGAAGTCTTATATATACGACATCGATGACCTTTACGTCACTGGCTAGCATAGATGTCGTTTATGATTTTCTCATAAGCGGACAGTCCGAACCATTGCGACGACACTTGGAAACTCTCATTTACTACACGCGCCATCAACTTCACACTCTCTACACTCGTTTAAAGCCAAATCGACACACGCTTTATGTTGAGCAAACAACTCTAAAGTCACCCATTATCCCAATTCTAACCGCCTCCCCCCGTAGCCTCGCGACACATTGTCAACGATTCGGTTTTATGGTGCGTCCTATCGTAAGCCCAACCGTACCCATAGGAAGCGAGCGAGTAAGAGTCTGCTTGCATTATTCTAACACAAAAGAGCAAGTTGATGAACTATGCGGTGTGATTGAGCTGTGGGTAAAAGCTCAGATGACCGAGGAGGTTACAGAAATTACAGACGTATTCACCAAGGGAGATAAACCGCGGCTATGATGTTTATAACTCGAACTAGAGCATTTTTAACTTAGCTACCTACCTTCTAGCTACAAGCTATGAGTCACCAATTGTGGGTGGCGTAGACTTGTCAAAGCTCTTCATCGGCTCTAAACCCCATCGGTCAAACATAACCTTGTCCTCGTCCCAGCCATTGCATTCTGTCGTCAGCATCTTCTCGCCGGTGAAGATGGCGTTCGCGCCAGCCATGAAGCATAGCGCCTGCTTCTCCTCTGACATGGTCTTCCTGCCAGCAGCTATTCGGACGATGGTGGCGGGCATGATGATGCGGGCGGTAGCAATGGTTCGAAGCACTGGAATATGTAGAGTTAGTAAGGCGATTAAATATAGATTCTGCAAGTATATTTGATCCAAGATCCTATCTCACCAGTCTATACTTCGGGATAGACTCGAAATCCCGCATTATACTCCTAAGATGCAGACAAAAAGGGGCAAAGGTATCTAGGTGTACTCACTACTTGTAAAATCGATCGGCTCGCGATCTCCAAGAGGCGTGCCTTTAATAGGCACCAGGGCGTTTACCGGGAAACTCTCCGGGTGCTTGGGAAGCGTCGACACGGTATGCAGCAAGCCGACACGATCGGTCGACGTCTCGCCAAGGCCGAGAATTCCTCCAGAGCAGACGTTGATGCCGGCATCACGCACGTAGCTAAGAGTCTGCAATCGCTCGTCGTAGGTGCGCGTCGAGATAACAGACGGGTAGAACTCGCGGCTCGTGTCGACATTGTGGTTGTACGCCGTCAGTCCGGCGTCTTTGAGCTCCTTCGCTTGCGCCGAGTCGATCATGCCCAGCGTAACGCACGCTTCCATGCCGAGCGCTCGCACGCCCTTGATCATCTCGGCGATGTTCCGCAGGCTGTTCTTGCGCCCGCGCATGTCCCGCCATGCGGCGCCCATGCAGAACCGCGTGCTGCCGTTTTCTTTAGCTGCCCGTGCAGCTGCTAGTACCGACTCGACTGTCTCGACCTTTTTCGCTTGAAGCCCTGTGCCTTTCTGGTATCGCGTAGCTTGGGCGCAGTAGGAACAGTCTTCTGTGCATCCGCCGGTCTTGATGTATGTCTGTTAGCGAGTATTTTCTTTTTATTTATTTGGTGTTAGCTTACCTTGATATTCATGAGTGTGCATAGTTGCACTTCGCCCGGGTCATGAAAGCGTCGGTGGACGAGACTCTATTACGGCTGGTGTTATCAGTCAAATCCACTACCATAGCTATTGTGTACTTGGGTTCATATGGAACCGATAGCTAAAAGCATTGGTTTCTTGTATGATTGTCTTACCGCTTGGTGCACTAAATCCATCAATGGATGGTTGTAGATTACCGCTATCTCATCCCTCGTCCAGTCGTTCCTCGGTTGAGTCGCGGAGACGGCATCACGGAGGGTGTTCTTAGTACTTTGGATAGGAACTTCTTCCCTAACATGGACCGGACCGGGAATAGGGAAAGGCGGCTGATCAAAGTGTTGCGGCTGGACCGCGGCAGCGGCAGCAGACGGGCGAGAAGACGCCGTCGTAAACGATCGGATACCGTTACATCGAACAGGCCGAACCAGCGGCTGAGCAAATCGACGAAGAACCAGGCGCGCGGGATTCATGATTACGCACAGATTGAATCTCGTCGACTCACGGAAGAGAACCAATCTTGAAGTCTAACGGGCTACATCGTGACGAAGCAAGCAAGGAACCAGGTAGCCTATACCGGGCTTTCTCTCTCTAGCCAACCCCCCCACGTCTCAACAGAAGCCCTACCCCCCCTCCCCCCAATGCTTTTTTCGCCAGTGGGGTGGTGGGTTTCGGCTACTAAAGGGGATCCTCACGGCGAACTATGCCCATTGTATATCGTAGGCCTAGTATATCGACAGCATATACGGCAATACCTACCTAAAGCGACTAGGTACGCGGGTAGCGAGATGGCAAGGAACGCTGTATCACTATCACACACAGCCAAGTCTTGAACTTAGCCGGCACTAAAGAGATTGGCGACAATATCCACATGATCCCCGCCGGCGTGCATGAGGCCATTGAGGATCGCCACCTTCCAATTTGCGTGATATAATTCGCTACTTAACAGTATTGCGTAATTGAAATAGATCCATTGGCACTTGGTTATGTTTACTCGCTATGTAGGAGGGGATGCCGACGTAATACGCGATGGGCTAGCGAGATGCTACTCCTGAAATTATCTCATATTAGCACAGCTATATACCTTAGGTAGTAGAATGTTCAAATCATTTTGCTGTATTAAATGGTTTTATAAACTTGGTCGAATATAATGTAAGCTTCTTCATGAGCCTCTTAGGATTCTCTTCATTTTCATCATAGATTAATGAATTGCCTGACTGTTCTATCTCATTCATATGAGGTGTTATGCGCATGGAAACAACTTTTCATCGAGACGCGTAATTGGCAATACTACACAGAGGATAACTGAGAAAATATGAGTATGGGCTGAGAAAAGTGAGTTTTATTTTATTTTGTTTTTATTTTTTAAAGTCTTAGTAAAGTGAGTTTTGAATAACATTACGAGGACATCTAAGGATATATGTAGTAAGTTTACGAAACGATCTAATAGGCATAGAATCTCATCAATACAACTCACATCGATACTCATAGTGATAGCAATGTGTCTATGATGACTGAAGGAAACGTAATGTCTCCGAGCTTCACTTTAACCTGGTCAAATATTCGTTGAATAAATGGCCCCTGAAGGGATTTTATTGCCTCGTCATAAATGTCAGGGAACGGGCAATTGCGTAATAATAAGAGCTTTCCTGTTATCTATTGAGTTATGAGAAACTCTCATATTTTACATCACTATAACATATTTCTTATAACCAGTCCGTAGTCCGGGAAACCAGGTCTATATGTCAAGTTTAATCTTATACTTTAGCCTTTTAGTGTGAAATTTGAGTAACGATTTCAAGCTACTGTAGTGGTTTTATATATAATTGCAGTTAATTGTTGGGTTTGTGAGTTAACTATGTCGAATTCGGCTTCCTTTCGCTACGAGGTTAATTTTACCCCTTTTTCAAAAATTTGTGGGCTTGTTATGACTAGAAGCCTAAGCCCAAGCTTATAAATGGGAACTCCTTGAGGATAATGTCTTAACCATAATACAAAAGAGGCCGGCGATCATGTGGTATGATAGGTATAGAATATAACAAACAGTATACATTTCAATGACAATAAATCCGAAAGTCGTGTCGATGATCACTAACATTTTCTTAGACTGGATATACTATTACATTTTCCCCTGCATAGGGTTATCTCTCTTTTCGTCAATTATACGTCTTGCAGCAGCTTACCAGGAGTAGTAACTGTTTGAGTAGGTAATTGGACAGAAGTATTTACGATACATGTGTTATTATTTCATTATTTTTATATGTAGTTTCCTTTGACCCTTAAGATTCAAATAATAATAGGTATCATAAATATAAGTGCCATGCCGATTACGAATGAGAACCAGAAAGTTCCCGGTTGTATTTTACTATGTAGGGGCTGAGTTAGCTAAGCCTCATAAAATCTCCTGAATAGCTTCATCGCCTATCGGTGGCTGCAACGCCACTGAGAATGCCTAAGAATTAAACGAATAAAATCGACTTCCTAGTCTAAGTTAAATTAATCTGCCTTCAACATATTTACCTAATGCCTGTGGCTAATGGGGACTTAGTGATTGTAACACATCTTAACGCTGAATGCTCCAATAGCTTGCTCGTTTACTAGGCTATGCAAGAAAAGCGATAGGCCGCTACGTGGCTTCACCAGACACAGCCCCGAATGCGAAATCCGTAGCCTACCTTTCGTTACACATCATTAGCAAAGATAATTTCTGTACAGCCACTTCATCTCGACGTGACTCTTTTTAATACTAAAAGACCTATCTGACCTTAACCTCTTTCCTAAAACTTTGCTGTACTCGAACTATTGAACAAGTCATTTTTTAAAACTTCACATTGCTCGTTGCTGATAGGCAATTAGAATTAGCACGATGACAAGCCTATGCGCATGTGAGCATCCCGACTTTAAAAAGTTACCGGAAGTTGCATGGCGTTGTACCCAATGCTGGACGCCGGTTCCAGAAGATGAAGAGCTTCAAGACCCTAGCACGCGAGAGGAAGTGAGACACCGCGTGCTTGAGAGGTCATCACTGAACTTATCTTGGCCAAGCAGCGTCCAATATAATAATGACAACGACCTTGCCGAACGAGTTATTCGTGTCCTCGAGGAAAGCGTATACAGCCTAAACCAAACAAACGACCAAACAAACGCTATTTCACATCCTAACGATGAGGGGGATCCAATAGTTCATCCCCCGATTCAAAATGCAAACCCTATAACATACCGGTACTATCAGTACCGGTCCCTAGAGACCACAACACGAAACCCACATCTTAGAATCCTTCGATTGTCTCCGGGTGAGCCCGGGGACCCGCTACATGGAAGATTACTCATTGCATCTATCGAAATTACCGGAACTACGCTGGAATATGAGGCTATTTCGTATACATGGGCGAACGAGGCAGGCGACAGCAGAAGGCAGCGACCTCTGTATCTCGATAATAATTGGTATAGACTCCCTATCACTGAAAATTGCGAGGCGGCGCTTCGACGGTTCCGAGATAGAAAAAAAGCAAGGTTCCTATGGGTAGACTCCGTATGTATTAACCAAGAGGATGCCGACGAAAGACGCGAGCAGGTCGGGCTGATGCCTGAGATATACTCTCGGGCGCAGAAGGTTTTAGTCTTTTTAGGAAAAGACTCGAATCACACAAGTGCTGCGATGTTTGCGCTCAACTCCGATGAACGATCGTCTAAAGAGTATAGGGAGAGCGGCCTATACATTAACGATATAAAATCGCTATTTTCTCTTCCTTATTTCTCCCGCGTCTGGATCATACAGGAATTAGCTCTGGCTAGGGATGCTACCTTTTATCTTGGGCACGGCGCTCAATCGCTCGGGCTTCAACATTCCCGAGAGAAATTCGGGCGCATATTCAAAGAAGTTCATGCTGAAGAAGTACTGCCTCTTTGGGTACGGCACTGCGGAAAACGCAAGTTGAGATCCTGGGAAGAATTTGGGAATCTGATATTCGATGGCATGCCTAGCCAGGCTTCGAGACCAGAAGATAAGATATTCGCCTTCTTTGGTATGATGAAAGACGCGAGCGTGGAGGGACTGGTTGCGAATTACAATCTTGCAGTAGAGCAGGTCTATACTGGCATCGCCGCTTTCTTGATGTCTAAAGGTCACTTGATGAGCCTCTTGGAGCGAGCAAGAAGCGGAGGATCCCAAGCGATACATGATAACCGACCCCTGGACCTCCCTTCGTGGGTTCCTGACTTTCGTTGCGCAGCCCAGAACGACGAATTCAATCTCAGTCCCGAGTTCAGCCCGGTCTATATTCAACCAGACCCATCTGACCAACGATCACAACCTATTCCCGAGGTTGTCCTCAGTCGGACTGGATCCCTGATTATCCATGGATATAGAATACTAAGAGGTATTGCCATGAAAACCCCGGAATTAGAGTATACCTACAAATACAGGTCGGCATTCGAGATTAGCGTCAAATTCCAAAGATTATTCGACTCGACTATGGACATCATCATGTTACCGTGTATTGAGGATTCTAAGCCGTACGCCCTACATCTTCGGAAGACCGATGTTCGCAATCGTACTAATTGCTACACCTTCATTGGGCTATGTAAGGTTGGACTGCCTTATATATTTGCCGACGGCGGTGAGAAGAAGATAATACTTCGACCTGAGTATTTCTCTATTCCTGACGACCCCGAAATCATGACGGTTCACAACTTCATCGAGAAAAACCCCCATTTGGATATCAAGTTAAGTCCCTGGCTGTTACGATTTTCTCCGGTAGGCAAAGATTACTCGAGACCGGAATAGGCGTTCTTGATCTAATGGTTCACAGGAAACAGAACATGACTCCTCTAACAAAGCCCTTGGGGTTTCCTGGTTATTTGGACCGGGGCCGAGCGAAGATCGCCTTACCAGTTTTCTCGATCAATGTAGAGGTCTTAAATTCCTGTGGCGTCAATGGTCGCAGGACCTTGAAGTAGTCAGGTCTGCCGCAAAGGAATTCATCTGTGAGACATTCGAAGACTCTCGGGATTCAAGCAAAAAGCTGTTAACGAGCGATCTTACCGAGAAAATTAGGCGTTGGAAGCTCTCAACAGGAGCCCTTGTGTCTTGCGGGGGAAAAACCTGCAGAACACTATTCGGGGAATCATCCTCTTTCTGTTCCTTTGAAGATGATGCTCAGAATAAAACAACCCACACACTCTTGAGTACGAATGACGTTAAAGAGGTGTTTGATAAAATATATTCAAATGTTGAGCAAGACATTTTGAGATGCGAAGCCTGTAAAGGGTCCGTCGATATTGTTGAGGAAGCTATAGAACGCCTGATTGGAGATTGGAAAGAATTTATGATGCCAATGTCTCCAGATCCTATAGGAGTTACGACAAATAAATTATGGGCGATATTTAATAGGATTAAGTATCGACGGAATTTGGAGCGGAGGTTTACCTTTATCTCCGGGAGTCATGAAGAATTCATTATTATCTAAGTGTGGGTTTTGGCATATTGCTCTTGGGTAAATTGAAGAAGTTGTTAACTACCTACCTATATAATCAAAAGAGTATACTTATTTCTGTTGAATACCGGTGATACTTTATTACTCTTACATGGCAACTACCTCTTTTCATATAAGTGTTTGCCAAGAGAAAAGGACCTTGAGGCCTAGGACCATTAAGCTGTACTTTATCTCCGTAAACTTAACTCCGATATACCGGGGCGCAATCGGCCGTTAGCGGTGAAAGACTTTCTTAGATCTCGGTCTCGTTCTCGCCCTCTAAGATTAGCCTATGATAGACGGACAGACAGGGTTGGATTACAGCTATCGCGAAAGAGAAAAAAAAATACACTCTCATATCAATTTCGGGCGAATTCTTTCCTTTTCTAACTAATTCTCTCTACCATCTCCTCCCCTTTCGACTCGGAACTGTTTCCTCGCCTCAGATGGCAACAGTTAGATCGGGAGCGTCTCGTACAGCTCGGGTTAAAAATTTCGACGCCATCATCTCCCAGAGGGCTTACAGCCATAGAGCGCAAACTCTTCGATATCGACATAATGACTTACATATAACAACTGGTAAGTACCTACCTACATTTCGATATTTCCTTCGAGTTATTTTTTCCATCCCTTCCTTGGAAACCAAATAGGGATACCTATTGGAAAGTCGTCCATATTACCATGACTATTGCGCGTTTCCTTAACTATTCCGGTTATCGGCCTTCCTAGTGGATGCAACTTTCTCCCAATTACCGTCGACGCCTTACTGCACGACAGTTTAGCATCGCGCTTTAGTCCCACACTTTTAAGGCCAGGGGCAAATCGTCAACGCACGCAGTCAGGCGGCAAAAAAAGATATGGGGACTTTACGTCCGCAGGGTCTTTTCCTGGATCGCGTGGGTGAAACAGTGCAGTTTGACAAGAAGTTTCCAAGCTGTGGCTTATTATTATTATTATTATATTGAATTATTATTCGTCTTTAGTTCCGGTTGTAATTCCCTCATCATTCCATAAAACATACCACAATCTCTTTAGCCGATACTTCCTTCTCCTTATTCGAAAGTTTAAAAAAAGAAAAAAGACAAAAATAGTGCTTGAAACTTTGAAAATTGGGTTCTTTCCCTTATAGGTATTAACTAACCAAACATTTTTTTATCAGGAGCGGCAGTAGCAGCTGATACCCCGCGTCCGCTACTACTGTCATTTTCAGGGTCTGTCACTACCCCGCCATCTCCAAAGCTGCTGCTACACTCCCCTAAACGCCATTTTCACCATCAAGCACCAATGGCTAGACTCAACCTTGGAAACATAAACCCGCACATCGTCGAGGCCAAGTATGCCGTCCGCGGAGAGCTCGCCGTCAAGTCAGAGGAATACCGTGCCAGACTTAAAAAGGGTGACAAGAGCCTACCATTCTCCCAAGTTATAAGCGCAAACATCGGCAACCCCCAGCAGCTCGATCAGAAACCCATTACCTACTTCCGCCAGGTTCTGAGTCTTCTCGAGAACCCTAAGCTGCTAGAGCATGAGGATGTTCTAATCAACTCCCTGGGTTATAAGACAGACGTGCTGGAACGGGCGAGATGGCTTTTAGATCACGTCGGTAGCGTTGGAGCATACAGCGCCAGTGCTGGTGTTCCAGCCATCAAGGAGAGCGTTGCCAAATTCCTTGAAAGTAAGTTAAAGCTAATTTAAAAGTTATACTATTTTCGTGCTAAACCTGTAAATCTAGGACGGGATGGTTTCCGCGCCGACCCGGCACATATCTACCTTTCGGCTGGTGCATCTTCCGGTGTCAACACCCTCCTACACATAATATGTGCCGCTCCCACCACCGGAGTTCTTGTTCCTATCCCTCAGTACCCGCTCTACACCGCTTCGCTCTCCGTTCTCAACTCTACATGCGTCCCTTATTACCTCGACGAATCCGCTCATTGGGGTACGTCGCTCGCGGCTATCAAGGAGTCCTACAACAAGGCCAAGGCCGATGGCATCGACGTCCGCGCTATTGTCATCATCAACCCGGGCAACCCGACGGGTGCTTCGCTGTCTGAAGAGGATGTCCGGTCCGTCCTGGAGTTTGCTGCTGAGGAGAAGCTCGTGGTTATGGCCGACGAAGTCTACCAGACCAATGTCTTCATCGGAAAATTCCACAGCTTCCGCCAGGTCCTACTCACTCTACAAAAGGAGCACCCCGGAAAATACGACGAGGTTGAACTCGCATCCCTACACTCCATCTCCAAAGGTATGGTCGGCGAGTGCGGCCACCGTGGTGGTTACTTCGACCTGATTGGTTTCAATCCTGAGGTCGAGGAGCAGATCTACAAGTTCGTGTCCATTACGCTATGTGCCCCCGTCATCGGCCAGTGTCTCGTCGAACTTATGGTCAACCCGCCCAAGCCTGGTGAGCCTTCGTATGAGCTATATGACCAGGAATACAATACCATATATAACAACCTGAAGACACGCGCATACACTCTATACGAAGCCTTCAAGGAGATGGAAGGCGTTGAGTGTGGCGAACCCCAAGGTAGTATGTACATCTTCCCTACCATCCACGTGCCTCCTAAGGCCGCCGAGGCTGCTAAGGAGGAGGGTCGTACGCCCGACGAATTCTACTGCATGCGCCTGCTAGAGTCTACAGGCGTGTGCGTCGTGCCCGGAAGCGGTTTCGGCCAGGCCGAGGGCACCCTGCATTTCCGCACTACCTTCTTAGCTCCTGGCTCTGAATGGGTTGGATCTATTAAGAAGTTCCACAAGGAATTCATGGACAAGTACAGATAGACAGCGAGAGGAGAGAATGAATAACGACGGTGGGCATTGTGCGGGGCTAGTATGTTGGAGTCGGCAGTGGATTGTTGGGTTAGATTGAGAGGAGCGAGAATTGTGGAAAAACAAAAAAACCTAGATACCTACAAAACTGGCCATATCGGCCACTTTAGGAGACTTCATGTGTGTATGGTTCCGTGGGAGGATAGGATAGGGCGTTAAGACTTTGATACCTACATACATACTCTCCACTACGCATCACGAACCTCATAGAATCACCCTAACTCATAAAGTTCATTCTGAACGCGCAAAGTCCTTCACCGTGAGCTCAAAACGAGGTTGGTTTCGGCCCGTCTATGTTTGATTCGTATTGTTACATTATCTGTCTATTGCACAGGCACGCATAATCTCGTCACCGGCAACAGCTGAACCGTCTTGGACGCCCTTCTATTCATCTTTATTAGGTACTTTCATACTACTGCTGTTACCTCTTTTACGCCCTCTCGCTACCGCGGAGCCGCACGGCCTGGCCGTACTTCTGCAGCTTGGTGATCAGCTGGTCGCCCTGCTTGACGACGTCCTGGTACTGCTTATTCTTGTCGTCCGGACGGTTTGTCTCGATGACGCCCTTGCCCGTCACGCGGTCGATGGTGCATGGGATACGGCCGCCGGCGATGAATTTGGCGAGGTCGCTGGGAGAATAGGTTAGTACTAGATAATTCAAGAGGAGGCAAAGGAGGTGGAGGTGGGAAGAATGAGTAGATAAATAAAACATACCGGTCCAGGAAGTCGACCGTGATGCCGAAGTCGTTGGCCATGCTTTCGAGCCCGACGACGCGGTAGCTCTGTAGTAGCTGCTGGTAGGCGCGGAGACGCATCTCGCGGATGAACCAGCCCTTGTGCTCGTGGAGGTAGCGATCCTGGGTGAGGAACTGCTCCTCCACGAGGGCGAGGGCCTGGAAGAATAACTTGTAGTTGCCATTGTACAAGCTACTGACGAGCTGGGCGAGGGGCGAGAAGTCAACAGCCAGCTCGGCCTCGGGCTGGTCGGAGCCGAGCGTCGTCAGGTTGACGGCTGTAGTAATCTTGGTAGGTGCCGTAGGGGAGACGGTGTCCTGAACAGCGTCCCGCATCTCGGCGTCCTTAGCGCCAGGGCCTGCGGAGATGGCGCCGGACAGAGCGAGAAGCTTATCGTCGCTGTCGGCGCCCAGGATGGCCTTGATCTCGGGGGCGTCGACGACCTTGCTCTTGAAGTCGACTCGCTTGAGGGAAACGGAGCCGGCGAGAACAGAGTACACGACTAGGTTAGAGTATGTACATAGTTCGTAGCTGGTGAATGTCGACAGGGAGTCGAGGAGGAGGGGCGCGGCGAGGTTGTAGGAGCGGACGGTAAGTAGGTGTAGGCCCTCGTAGGCCTTGAGGCGGTTACGACGGTCCCAGTCGCCGCCGCTTTCGACGAGCGTCTTCGCGCGCGCAACGTGCTTCTTCACCAGAGCCTTGTCGCCGTAGAACAGCCCCATGCGGATTATTGCCAATACCAGGTCGATCTTGGTGCCCAGGATGCCCGTATTCTCGAAGACATCCTCGTAGGCTGCTATTGCCTTGTCCTGTTGTGATATTATTAGTAACAGTTAGGTTATAGAGTAGCTAGGACGTAGAAATACCTTGTCTCCAATCTTGGCAAAGAAATCGGCACGCTTTCCCTTCGCAGCCATGATTTCCGTCTCGCCAGCCTGTTCAACAGCTTCGTCCTCCTCCTTCTGGAACCCCTCTAGCTCTTTATCGTTCTCCGCCTTCAACCTATTGTATACCTCCTCATCCCAAGGTAAGGTCGCACCGGCAGTCTTGCTGGCGACCATACCCGCGGCGCTTGGTTTCCGGCCGGTAGGCTTCTGAGGTGCTGATGCTGATGAGGTCTCACCGGTGGCATTTAGGATGCCCTCAGTGGGGTGTGCCAGGTACTTATACAGAGGGGCCATCTTATTCTCGTTGATGCCATCTTGTAAGCTCTTAACTGCAGCCTGTTGGGCGGGTCGAGTGGCGTAGGGATTCGTGATGGTGAAGACTTGCTGGGCTAGAGGTAGAGCAGGCCATTTCGCATATTGAGGGTCGGAACCCATGATGAAGGAGGGGGAGAATTGGCGTGAGCTTTAATATGTGGGATTATAGAAGGGAGAGAATTATCGTAGTATGCAGAATCGTTAAATAATTGAATGTCGTCACCGTTGTTAGTTGATGAAGCTTCTCATAAGTTTAGGTACATAGGTAAGTTTTAAAGTTGATAACGGACAGAAGAGCTGCTGTTTTGCCAACGGTTGCAAGCAGCTGCAGGCGGCCATCAGCGGACGTAACTTTCACAACTGAACTTGCTCATGAACCAATCACTAAGCACCTGTGGACCTTCTAGAGCCTCAAGGTACCTTGGTACTTATCTAACCGCTAGATCCACCTTTTGGCACATACTTACTTTGTGGCACATTTCCCACCAAAACACTACCTTTTCAACCTTAAATAATATCATGTATATTGAAGCTATAAAGTCGAGACTAATATAAGTCAATAAATAATTAATTTGGGTTTATAATTATATATATAATATCGGAATTAAAATGGTAGTTATAATAAGATTGGTACTTTAATATATAATATAAAAAATATATTACCTTTACATATAAATTAAATATAAAAAGATATTATAATTATTTACTTTAAAACGTTATATATTTAAAGTTATTATATTTAAAAGGTTAATATAATTAGTTTTAAGCTATATATAAAGTTTAATGGCTATAATTAAATTAAATGGCATATTATATAAGTTAAAAGTTTTACCTATATAAATATAATAAAATTTAATATAAAATTATTTTCGACTTTAAATATTTTAATAACAAAAATAACAATAATAACCAAATGTATATTAAATGTATAAAAGATTTAAACAACTTTATTACATATTTTAAATTTTAAGTTTTAAACGTTATTATTATAATATTCCAATTTCCCATATTATAAAAAATACTTATTTTTGTACCGAATTTATATATAAAAGCCTTGTACTTTTATATTAAAAGGTAATTATTTTAATTATGCCACGAATAAATTTTTCTATTTAATAAAAAATACAAGATCAGTAATAAAGCTTTATAAGGTATTAAAAGAATCTAATTACAAGTTTATAACATCAATATACGTAATATTATTCGAGGTTGAAAAGGTAGTGGTTTTGGTATAAAAGTATGCCACAAAGTAGGTATGTGCCAAATGGTGGATCCAGCGGTTAGCAGTTCTGGGTACAAAAAAAACGTAAGGTACGGGTTACCCCGGTTCTTCACTAGCTCAATGCCAAGACTCGCATACCTTTCCAGCTTCTGCATCACCTTAGGAGCTAGAGATCCTAAATACCTACATTCTAATGTCAGGTTAGGTACTTCTTTACCTAACATAGGTATCCCGTCCTTTCCTTTACTCAACTTTTCTTTCACCGTCTAAAAAATTAACCAGATCAAATCAAATTATAAATCCCAGCCCATATTAGCAAAATCTAATTCAACTTCACTTCACCTGCGCAATTACATATCTGAACGGGAAGAAAGGTCATAAATTCTCTCGTCTTCCACAATGGCAGGAGACTACGCTTCCGAAGAGCTGCCTCAGCCTTTCGACGCGAAGCATCTTGAGCCCGCTAAAAGGCGCAAGGATTCTCGATCTCCCAGCAGCAGCAGCAATAGCAAGCGCCGAGAAAACGATGCAGGCGGACCTCCCCTTGACGAACTACCTCAACCATTCGATGCCAAGAAGCTCGAACCGGCCAAGAAGCGACAGCGTTCTAGATCACCATCCGATACGCCCCGGAAGCTGAAGCGCCCCGGTCGCGGTGCTCGCTTCTCTCAAGCAGAATCGTCGACTATCCGCCAGCGCCACGAGCAGCGTGAGCGCGAGGCCGCCGAAGTCGCAGCTACGCAGGCCGTGCTAGAACAGAGAGGCATCAACGATGTTGTCCGACAGCATTACAACGCCGTACCAGAGAGGGGTCGCGACTGGAGAAAGACGGACAGCAGAATCAAGGGGCTTAGGTCGTTTAACAATTGGGTCAAGAGCACATTGATACAAAAATTCTCGCCCGACGAAGACCACACGCCTGGCGCTCACGAGCGAGGGCGCGATATGGCTGGCGCTAGGGATCACGAGCTGCTCGTCCTCGATATCGGATGCGGTAAAGGTGGCGATCTAGGTAAATGGCAGCAGGCCCCACAGAGAGTTGAGCTATACGTAGGGTTAGACCCCGCCAATGTTTCCATTGATCAGGCGAAAGAACGATACCGTAATATGACCCATCGTGGCGGCGGACGGGGTGGTAGAGGCGGTCATAGAGGTGGGCGCCATCAGCCTCCGCCGTTCGAAGCTCGCTTCTACGTCAAAGACTGTTATGGCGAGTCTATTGGTGATATAGATATCATTCGGCAAGTCGGATTTGATCTTTCGCCCATGGGAAGGAGCGGGTTTGATATAGTCAGCATGATGTTCTGCATGCATTATGCATTTGAGAGCGAAGAGAAGGCTCGGATGATGCTCCAGAACGTATCTGGGGCTCTGAAGAAAGGTGGGCGCTTCATAGGTTGTATACCTAACTCGGATGTGATCGGCGATAGAGTCGTAAAGTTCAACGAGTGGTTCGCGAAAAAGAAGAAGGGCGAGACGACCGAAAATAAGGACAATTCAAACAAGGAAGACAATGAGGATAAGGATAAGGAGGAGGAGGGCGAGGAGGGCGAGGTTGAGGAGACGGCGGAGTGGGGCAATGATCTCTACCGGGTCAGGTTTCCCGGCAAAACTCCCGAGGACGGTATCTTCCGGCCTCCGTTCGGATGGAAGTACAGCTTCTTCCTTGACGAAGCGGTAGAGGAGGTCCCAGAGTACGTCGTACCTTGGCCAGCATTCCGTGCTATAGCAGAAGACTATAACCTCGAGCTACAATACCATCAGAAGTTTGATGAGATCTGGGAGGCCGAGAAAGATGACCATATACTGGGCCCCCTAAGCGAGCGTATGGGGGTCCGTGAGAGGGGAAGGGGACCACTTCTGGTTTCGCCTGAGGAGATGGAGGTTGCCAGCTTCTATCTGGCCTTCTGCTTCTATAAAGTATAGGTATATTCTTTCGATGGGTGAGAGCGTTCAGCTTAGGCAGCTCGTGGACGACACGCCTACCAGAGACATGGGATAACCTATTGTAAGGTGCAAGGTGTTGCCTGAGGGCATTAACCAAAAATTTCTAAGCCCTGATAAAAGGACGACAGTACTTCGTATAGCAATGCAATAAATGCTTCGAACCTCATACATACGCGTGGCGAATTACATATTCCCTGGAGCGATTCTTACTAGTCTATCTTACTCATATAAGGAGTAACTAATTGATAATATCTACCTACCAACGCATCTACCAAGGCTTGTCATATCCAACCATCTAGCAAGGAATCGTTAAGGCTACCCAGGTAGATATTTCCCCAGCGTTCAATACAGTAGTCTATCACCTCACATCCTATACCCACTTTCTACATCCGGAAATACTACCAGGTTACTATTGGCCAAGCCGATATGTTTATTCCGTGTTACCTACCTACTTTCTATAAATGCTTCCCAAGTTACGTTAGGTAGTAGAAAGGAGACAGTATATCCCATACAAATTCAGAAGAGACGAAAAAGTTCCAATGAGACAATACATGAAAAGTATACCCCTTCCCATTTTAATATTCCCATCTAAAATAACCACCCATCCCACACGCAACCAAGATGCCCCTTTCCCAAGTCTGCTGTACTAAATTTAATCCGTAGCCGTGTCGCGCCGTGAGCGATACAGACCACGTCCTGTTCCCTTCCGCCCTACTCGTACATGCCATACCGTAAACATCAGTGTAAAAAGGAAGACAAGAGAAAATAACGACGTAAATCGTCAAGGAAATCATCAGACAATAGCACACATTGCATGCCATGTTCATCGCAGGCCATAGGGGGAACAACACTATACTCCCTCCCATGTTCCACCACCGCGCCATTGTCGTGCATCTTACCCCTGGACAACTACCCCCCTTTCCCGACTTCGAGACGTGGGGTCTCGTCGTAGGGCGCGGGTGCGGGTGCGGTGCCTCCCTCGCCTCTAAACCCCGTGATCCTAATCCCACGACAACAAGAAAGAAAGAAAGAAAAATACATAATAACGCTATACTAGGATATTTGTTTGCACGGTCCTAGTTACCAGCTCGTTGGAGTTCTTGACCCTTGAAGTCATCGTCTGTGTATACAGATAGATAGATAGATAGATAGACAGTGTCCCGTCTGTACTACATTGGTACTAGATGTGCTGTTGCTGCTGCTGCCTACTTACCCGTCCATCATGGGCCATGGTTGTACCCTCTCGTCTGCGCTGTAAACGACATATCCGGTGGGACCTGGTTTATGGGAATAACGCCACTGCGAACTCGTTGCTGCTGCGGTGGTAATGAGTTGTAGTAGTTTAAGCTACTGCTGCCCGTGCTCTGGTGATGTCGGTGTTGGATGGGCGTCGAACCTCCGTATCCGGTGCTATAGGGAGGTTTGTTATTCCCGTTCCCGGACGAATGCATCATCGACGCGGTAAGGCCGTTAAAGTACGACGGCGGCGGCGCGAGGGCCTCGCCTTGCTGGTTGCTGGCGAAGTCGTCGAGACCTGCCGAGTCGGGCTCCTTCTTGAGGAGGGTCGTGTCCCACCCATACTGGATATCGTCGCTGCTGCTGCCGTCGTGTTGCGGAGCTGAGAGGAAGACCCTAGGCTTAGAGTCGAAGGAACTGTTGGGAGGAAGCGAAAAGGGGCAGTTAGTACAAGTCCGAAGAGAGGGTTGCAGGGTACCATCTACGTCTTGGGAAGACCTACTTGTCAGTACCAAAGACTTGGTGTTGGCGGCTCTGGCCGTACTGCTGGTTCATGCGTACCGGCATGGCGAGGCGGCCGTCCGCGTCTCCTTGTTTCATCATAACGCGAGGGAGTATCGCCCTCGCATCGCCGATGGCAGTAGTAGCAGCAGCAGCCATAATCGGAGAGGCTGTGTCCGAGCCACTCGTGAAACTACTCCCCTCGTCGGCGCTGCTGTTGCTCACGCTCGGCGAGGCGCGCTTCCGACAGTTGTACTTGCGGACGCCCCAGCGGATCAGACGGCCCCTGTACGCTCTAACACTATTAAGGGGGGAAGATCCCCTCGGTCTTAGCACGCTTCTATTTCTTCGGGCTATACAATATAAGGCGGGTATTTGTCTATATGTGATGTGCTAACGATAATTGGTACAGCAGATAAGGAAAAGGAAATGAGGTAGAGTGAAAAAGGGGGAACGCGGAAATAGGGAAGGAAAGAAAAGAAAAAAAGGAGTTAATTCTCACGAGGCTCTGAACCCGTACTGATCGATCATGATCTGCCGCACGACGGACAGCGTGTTGTCGGCGTAGAGATCCTTAATCGTAGCTTCATATACATCCCACTGTTTCGTCATTTTCGCAATTATCGTGGCAAGAGTTCTCTCTCATAGTAAGGTCCAGGTCCAAGCTAAGTCATTATTCTCCGGCGAAGTCTAAGGAGGAGGAGGCCAAAAGATGTAAGGGGAAACGAGGGTGCCATAGATTGGCAATAAGTCGGTCCTCATAGCTCTGGATATGGGCGAGAGCAGAGAACTAAGTCAGAGCCTCACCGAACCAAGTTCCTCTCGCGCACATGTGCGGGGAGCTTGGATCATCTTTTGGGAAAGGGGGGGGGGCTTGTCGCTGGCGAAGGGTAGAAAGGGCTAAACAGAAGGGTATGTTTGCCTACGGGGCTAGGCATAGAACGAAAGGAGAAGAAAAAAAAACACCCTGAGAAGAGGCAGGCTACGGGCTGTCTATTCCTCCCCGTTGCCTTCTTCTTCTTTTAAGTCCGAGTTTCTGCGCTGCCCTAGGCTGGATGGCTGGATGGCTGGATGGCTGGATGGGCTGGGTTAAGAGGCTTATTATGACACGACTAGAAGAACACCCTAGCCCAAAGCCTTACCGCAAAGACAAGTATAGGACTTAGGGAAACAGCCCGTTCTGCCAGACATGGCTTCTTGTCCTTGCAGATCTGGGGAAGAATTAGCGAGCAAAAAAAAAAAAAAAGAAAACAAAAAAAAACCACACTTCTGTGTAGGATACAGCCACATCAGAGCCTGCTTCTCTAGCGTCATCGTCGTGGCGGACGATACTGATACCTATTACATGATATGGCAAGGCAGTCATGTAAGATCCCGATTATTTAAAAAAGAGCCGATCTTGAATGAAGAGTATAATGCAACTATTACCAAACTATTCTCATGATGTCTTCATTTAAATATCTTTCTTACGATCTATAGGTAACTAACTTATCCTCAACCCCCACGACCACAAACCAGACTCACCTCGATAGTTAAACGCGCTCCTCACCCGAAGGCTGATAGTTCCCACCCACGCTAAACGGTTAAAGGCGTCAACAATCACCAATTGAAGTTACGCTACCCTGCAGTGCGTGCTACATGGCTGTTTGCGGTCGGCCTATCTAACCATTAATTAATAAATAGGCCGCCTGCTCGTTGGGCGGCTGTTGAAACCAGCTCCAAAGTAAGAAGTTGAGTAACTAGCTCCTAAGATACATAGCAAGTAAAAATCGCGTTCTGCTTCTAAGTGATGACGAATATCATATCTTACAATCGAACCTGAACCTCCTTAGAAACGAGGCGTGTACATTATCTCTCAGAATCATAGAATCCTCATGTTAGCGCTTACATCACGCCAGGATCGTGAAAACGGCGCTCGGTGGCTTCTTAGTTATATTAGTATTATTAAGTGCCTCAAGATCTGAAAGTTGCTCCCGAAATCTCACAAGAGAGAGAGAGAGTAATTTATATCCAGCAACGAGCTTGATCATGTATATATATCAGGCACACTAAAATAGTCTCTACTTTAAGGATATATAAAATAGACAGTTTAAGATGGATTCATTAATATTGATAGTCATAAATAATATATCGAAAAGCCACATTGAGAAGATATAACACCACCTCATCCTTCTACCTGCAAGCGATGCCACTTCGGTCTCGATTGCTGACGCATACTTGCTTCGGTCACATTTTCAGGCACCCCGCCTCCCAGGTATCTCTTGATTTGTCCTTGCTCTTCATTACATCGAGTTCGCGCTTTAAGCCGCATCGCCGCGCCCCACGATGACGTTTCCTATGTGCTACTCAGAATTTCCGTAAAAGTTGTAAAAGCCTAGGGCAATGCCCTTCCACAGTCACCCTCAGCAAGGCTTCACGAAGCTGAGGCTCCCTTGGCACGCAGTTCATAATTCCCTCATCTCAACCATGAAGGGCATTCGATCCCTTTTAACTTGGCACGACAGGCAAGCTGTGTCACTAAGCAGATGCCTTCTTATCCGTATCGTTCTTGAGAGTGTTTTGTCGGGTGACGGTAGGCGATATGGCTGTAGGGCTACTGACGGTCTCGCCACCTGTAATACCTGCGTCCTGTTCTTTATGCGCATTCGGATCAATCTTCTCGAGTTTTGATTTCTCGCTGACAGAGCCCGGAAGGCTAGCGTTCGGTGATGGTGTTTGGCTCTCATAAGCTGCGCCTGTTGCGCCGGCCGCAATACGGATTGCATCAAACCATTTCTGAGCCTCGGCAGCCGAGTGAGCTTTGAAATGAAATTCAGATGTGCCGGCGAGTTTGCTGCTAAAGCTCCCACCCTTATCCTTTCCTTTGATAAGGAACTTTTCACCCGTAGGAGGACTAATTACAGCATCTGGGAGGAAGATGGAGACTTCCGGTTTCGGGTCATGCCGTAAGTTATCATCGTCTTTAAACTCATGCAAGTACTTGGAAGGGGTTACGACATAATACGCCGATTGCGTACCCCACGACAGCTTGTTTCGCGACTTGCGCTCTAAGCTACCCTCGATGAGTGGCTTAGTTGAGATGTGATCCTGATTGGGGAAAACAATCGCATCCACGCTCCGAGGCGGGTCCTTCGGATCGACCAGTCGGTGGCCCTCACGAGCATTGAATCTGTTCCACTCAAAGTCAGGCGGAATTTGTTGCGCCGCGCCCAGCATGTCAACGTAGAGCGCCCTGATCTTTTCAGCCTGTCCACCGGCAACCTGATTGAGAGCATCCATTGCTTGCTGGACTACTTGTATCACGTGGGCCTCAAAATCCTTGAAACCATCCTGTATGCTAATGAGATCGTTTCTGTGGTTATTTTCTTCGATAACCTGCTTGTTCAGTCTGTGAAGGACACCGCGCCGGATAACGTAAGGGTCGTCGGTAGGTGTCAACTTGCCGCCTGTCGACTCGAAAGCTGCGGCATTCTGGCCGAGAAGCTCGATATGCTTCTGGGTGGTATTCCTAGCCTTCTCGATCTCCTTTGCGCTCTTCTCAACCCCATGGGATACCTCCTTATGCTTTGCCTTAATCTCTTTATGTAGTCGCTCGAGAATTGGTAGGACAGACCCCTTGAGGGTCTTCTCGGTCTCCGCGTTCGAATTGATCATAGCCTTTACATGTTAGGCACCAATCGGAATAAGGACAGAACAAGATCCAAATCTCACCTGAGTATTAACTCGCATGTTTTCGAAGAAACCCGCTACACCGCCAAGACCCTGGTCGAAGTGCGCCCCCTCTCTTAACGGGTGAGAAATCGTCTTAAGAACCTTCTCATACTCCTTGGCGTGCGCTCTGTGGGCTTTCTCGACAGCTCCGACATATTCTTCTAAATATCCCACGGCATGTTTCCAGGCCTGAAGTCTTTCGGAAAGTAAGCCGGCCGTCTGAGGGTAGCATGTTCGGGTTAGCGAAGGAGATAGAAATAGGGGGGATCTTGAATGCGACTCACCGTAGTAGGGTCGATAGCCGGTACGGCTTCTTCGCTGAGAGTAGTGGCCTGCCTCACAGGAAGCGTATGATTGTCGCCGCTCATTGTGTAGGAGATTTTGATATTATATATGTACTAGATTTCGATGTTTCGCTGGGTCGGTATAATGCTGCGTTATGTTGCGGTGTGTCGAGCTGGATTGGATCGAATACCTATTCGAAGGTTGTCGGCTATTCTTTCGCAACAGTAGTAGCGGTGCTGTTATAGGCTTCAAGTCGACGCGATAGTATTACTCTGGTTTGGTCTGGTAATTCTCAAGTTTAATCAAGTATGTCGAGGGCACAGTTAGGCAAATTGGGGGACAGTCGAGTCGGAATGGTGATGCGAAATTCGCGGAGGACGGACCCCCTGCGCCGATCAGTGAGCTTCGAACCCTGGCAGTGGGCACATTCGAATCTGATATAACGCTGATAATCGATGATTGATATCAAACCACGTTACCACTCAAGCTCTAAGAAGCTAGAACCTCTTTCTTAGCCCGAACGGGTTAAGTACCTAGGTACCTGGTTGAGAGAAAAGGGTGATTTAGGTTACTGCATTGGTCTCGGTCTAGTAGCTTAAACCAATTAGATAGTGCGATAATTACACAGAATCAAGTTCGCGACTGACAACTCCCTCTTACAAGGAAAGGACCTGTGGAAGAATGACATCATCTGCGTGCTATGTACGTAAGCATTGAAGACATAAGTCAATAAATCCCGTCTGCAAGTAATTCTGTATGTATGTACCTACATAATAATAATGCGTGTAACCAAGTACCTAGGTATCTATCACGAAACTTGTTGAAAACGTTGCATCATCCAACTGGCCGAAGTCCATAGGAGCTGGTCAAGCTCTGCCAATGCGACAGAATTTTCAAAATCCTATAGATTGCGGCTGTGACTAAAGATAATTCCCGCAGATCGCAAACACCGACGAGACTTACAACCAAACCTGGCATCGTGAGTGCGATAATTCCGGTTACGGACAGACCGAGGGTTCGGGATAGACAATGTCGTATCCCACAAGCGAGTACCAGAGAGGTATCCTCCACACAACCCCAGGACATAGGTAGCAAGCGTGAGATTTTTCTGCTTTTTATTTATTTATTTATACTTGATACAACACGAGCATGCAACGCTCCATACATTATACATTATGCAAGCACACAACCGCAATTATCCGTGATGAGGATGTAAAAAGTTTTCTCTTATTATTCAGTCTCGGTCTCCAACTTGCCGAACTGAGGATTGGAGAGTGACATTGCCTCCTAACGCCGAGTCTCTTGGTGTCTAAATGCCAATAGTGAAAGCAACATGATGGGTATATAGCAATTCTTAGATATGTGCCTCCACAAAAAAAAAACCAGCCAATTCAATTCAATTCCTTGTTCAGAGTCCGCAACCAGATGCCATTTCGCCGCTCAATGCAAGTGTGGCCCGTCCCGATGAAACCAACCTTCCTGCGAACCATGGTACATGTGGATATCCCCTGAGCCATTAAAACGCCTAACCACGAGAGAAACCAATAAACATTACGCTTGGATGACTTTGGTAGCCCATAGAAATGCTTAGATTGGGGAGCAATCCCAAATGGTAAAGTAACAGTTGCAGAAGACCGTCGTGGCAATTATCTAGCCACTTCTGCCTTGGATGAGTCGTAGTCGTCGCTCGCCATCACTGCCGCTTACAGCTGTGTGACTGGGGAAAAAGCTGAATCCTCCTATCGAATGCCGATTGGTCTGCCTACTCCTCGATGTGCTTCTCGATCGGGTGCTTGATACTGTAACTTCGGCTTGTGGGCCCTCCACAATGGTTGCCATGGGGTCGTTCAATACTATTCGCGTTGGAGAACCCGGCGCACTCGTTGCGGTCTGATAATCCGGAAGGATGATGGAGCCCGTGTAGCTTTGCGTCCTTGGCAGCGGTGCTCTCGTTGCCGTTGCATAGCTTGGCACCTTGCTCAGCTCCTCCATGTCCAAAAACTCAGTATGCTCAGGCGGAGTGTGGTGACCCCCTGCATGATTCGGACGATCCTCCTCGCTTGTCTGTCGCGACAGCTGCGTTGAATGTACCTGCGATGAATCCCCAGTGTGCTCGCTGTCATGTGGGTGGTTGAATGGAGTTGTCGCTCCTGACCCAGATCCGGTCGAGATGAAAGACTCGTTCCTCCGAGATTCGTCAAGAGAGACGTTCTGCAGCCTAGAAGACAGAACTGCAGGTGGGACTGCTATAGCATGAGCCATAGCTGCTAGATTTTCTGTCGAACCTGCCCGGGATTGTGCGTAGAACGGACTGTTAAGGCCGCTGTGGATCCCAGGGGTCATGATCCCGTTCAGATCAACGTCTTCGTACAGCTGATCTAGTACGTGCATTCCGTAGCCCGGGGGAGCCATCACTGAAGCGTCGCTCTCGTTTACTTCGCCGGGAGTTCCAGGCGTCTGGGAAACGAGATTGCCTTCTTCGTCTAAAGGCATATTTGGCGAGATAAATATAGTTATCGGTAATGATGCCCGAAGCTAATCGCGCCATTGTTAGTACCAACTTCTCGAACATCGGAGATAGGTGTAAAATCATACCTCGGAAATATGGCCATCAGGATTTTGTAGTGCAACTGTGAGCTTAAGCTTGTGTCGAATCTTAATGCCGTGAACTGAGCAGTCTTGAATGCACCTGCTTAACCTCTTGGGTAGGGGTAATTCCCTGTTAACAACCCATCCTTCTTGACCAGTTTCTTCGATGTTGTTCTGCCAATGCTGATCACGGGTGACTTCGAGATTCCATGAGGTAACATCACGATCGTGCTTGTATGATCTGGTTGGAGCTTGGTAGCCTTGCACGCTGAATTCCTGGATTTCAATAAGCTTAACCGTAATGACGCCCATTTCTAGCCCTTTTAGGAGAGGAGTAAACCGCATCTCCAAAGGGATATTGGTACCAAAGACAACGGCTTTTTGCGGAACGACCACGGAGTACTCGATCTTGTTTGGCCATATGTTCTCTACACTCATAGCGTGGTTGAATTCGAGGGCGGCAGGTTCCAGGGTTCGAATAATTCGAAATCGTTTAAAGGCATGCACATTCTTAGCCAACTTTCCTCTCGAAATAGTGGCTTTTAAGACATAGGTAATGCCAGTTTGGTAGAGCCCCTCAACGCTCTCGGCGGTATCTCCCGGTAGTAGAAACTCAAATGGCCACTCATAATTTCCGGGGGCTAAAGTGTTGTGATGCGTCGTCTCGCCCACGAAAGGTGGCCAAGTATGTCTTAGAATTGTGGTCGTCCTATCCATTTTCTGATTGTGAATACCGGATGGTGTCTGTTTTCCGTCGACCCAAGCCACACGGCAGCTACCCATCAGCCGCAAGTGAACATCTTCGACCTTCAAGGGTTCTCTCAAGCACAAGACTAAGACGCCTTTTAATAGCTGACCGGAAGCTTCATGCTCGTTTCCACGAAAGACAATAAAATCGTTCTCGAGACTGCAGCGGATTCTCAGTAAGATGTTGTCGAGTAGCTTTGGTTTGTGTCAACTGCTCAGCTTACCGTATCTCAAATAAGGTACAGACATTCCGACTAGCTACCGAAGTAAAAGGGTTAAAAGAAGGCATTTTTAATTCGGCAGATTCGACAGCATGTATTATTGCTTTGGAAGTGATTCCCGCACTTGGCGGAAAGGTGGCCAAGGGGTTTCGTCCACGAAATGTGAACGGTAAGTGGTGAAGGTTGGTCATGAGTAGAACCTGAGAATATGTTGGTGGGAGAGTCAGGATTATTAAAGCAGTATAAATCGAAACAATAGAGACAAGCTGTTTTTAGCGTCCTTAGCAGTTACAAAGAGCGTGGAACAGCTCGCAGGGACATGTATGACACAAGGATACGAGGAGAGATTCCTAGCGTGTGGGTACTACTACTTTTAGTTATATCAAGGGACTTTGATATCGGCGTTTTTTCTTTCTTCTTTGAGGATGGGTCAGGTCCGATCAAATAGGAATAGACAGGACGGGAGGGACTGGAAATTGCAACGGTTTTGACGACGGGAACCAAATTGTAAGTCAGCAACCAGCAGTAACCAGCAGCAACCAGCAGCAACCTAGCAGAGGCAGAGGATAATTCCGCCGCCGCCGTCGGGCAACTCGTCCCATTTTTCTAGCTCGTGGGCAGGTTTTTCCCTCTCTCTCATGCCCAGCGTTACATACCAGCCAGTCAAGAGACTTCGTAAGGGTTAGAGGGTCAAGAGGGTCTCAAGCAACCTTGAACCTACGATTGCCCGATGGCCAGGGGCAAAAATGGAACTTGGCTGGAACTTGGATCGGCTGGGTTAGAGACGGTGATAGCCGGCCGGGATCTACATACGCTTGTGGTAGATCATAAAAGGGAAGTAAAGAAAGAATACATAGATACATGCAGTGTAATGGATCATGGAAGCATGGGCCGTTATGGTGGAAGCGAAGAAGGAACCCACCTTTGCAGCGGCTGTGTATCACCTCCTAGCACCTTCACCTTTTTTCTCGTCTCGATTTTTCAAAGGGGGTAACCACCATCGGATTTTTGGTGTGCTGGTCCCCTAGTCAGGTGGGGCTTTCGCTTTCAGAACCTGATATCGGCCGGTCGCACCTACAGGGTGGAGCACGCCGCTTGCTACATGCTACATTGTACATGTGCATACATATGTAGGTGCATTATGTACTTAAAATCGTTTCGTGGTGTGCGAGTCACGCGGTGGAAGGTTTGATAGATTTGATAGGGCAAGAACAAACTTGACGATTATGTATTCAACGGACCGTTACCTGTATGGATTCAAACTATGAACCTAATTCAGCTTATGTATTCGCTATTCCATGTCTGGAGAGGGTGGACTGATCATCACCAAAGCCACAATTATATTAAAATGTGTTGCAATATCATCCTCATCATCATTATCACCTGCATATATTTAATTGTCCGTCTCTGCTGCGATTCGAATTCTAACGAAATACTCACTTATCTCTCCTACCTGTTGGGCCGACCTGACCTATTCGTGTTGGTTATCTGGGTAAGTATCTTGATAACAGAAATCCCAGGAATCTCCACGTGTACGTATTCTATTCAAGGACCGAGACCTTCTTAACCACCAGGAATGACCGCATCATGGTGTGTTGTGCCGTGCGGAGTTGCGTTCGTTCGTCTGCAACACCCGCATATGTACTCCCCTTCATATATTTTTCCACCTCAGCTCCAGGCTCTCCGCGTCTCCTATTGCAGCAGCCAGCATGCAGGTCACCTCCAATATCTCCAGCCTAGACTTGCGCCCATGGGCGAAGCTGACCTGCCGTACAACTATTGTACAAAAAAGGAATATTGAATATTAGTCTCCTGATATCGCCGCTCACAAGCAAACGTCAGCAATCGAAGCCTTCGGAATAGGAAATAATTCATTTATATCCTAAAGAGCGTGTCTCCCGAATTATCCACGAATTTCCGTGGGGGTGAACTCCGATTCGGCATCTTAGTGCTAGATCCGTTGTTTGGCTTGGCGGTGAATACCGATAAAAGTCACTGCCTCATGAGGATAGGATCACGATTTCTCTAGATCGTTCTATATCTGGCTTATTCCTGACATGATCAGATAATTGCGGATCCATGCGCCAAGCTCGATTGGCTCAGCAGACTACGACCTTGTTATGCATGGTTCCTGGAGGCTGTTTTCTGCCTTTGACATTTCATTATTACCCTGACGCTTTCCGGGTCTTACCAACATCGCATTCGGCCAAACAAACAACCGCTAAACCGAAGCAATCAGCATGACAGCTACCGAAGTCGTTAACCACTACCCCGGCCCTGACTGATCTCCGGTATGAGTTACGACGGCATCAATTTCTACCACTCATATTTCGCGTCTCACCTAAGCTCTCCTATTTATGTATCAGTCGTCTATTATCTATCGATGATTCGGCCTATGTAGCGAACTACGGAGGATCGAGCAATAATCGGTTGACGACTAATACTTGACAAACTAAAAATCTCAAAGCTAAATCCAGAGCTAGAGGTCTAATCCCTCGACTTTAGCTAGGACGAGACCTAACTTAACACTAGACAAAGCTTGGCTCTTATTAACGTCGAGCACTATCAATATATTGCAGCATACCTAAGGTATGATGTACAAAGGTATTGTCTACTACCAATTTGCCAAGCTGGTAAAAGGTATTCAGCCAATCCGTTTGCATTCCAACGTCTCGCCTACTATCTACGTTAATAAGGCGTTACCACGTGAAAGACCAAAGCCAAGCACCAAAGATCTCAGCGTATCGGCGGTATTTAGCAACAGCGCATATCTACATTTAAGTATATAGTGCCAACCCTATCAACCCTTAGGTACCTAGGTGGTAGGGGATCACTCTTCTTGATCAGGTTCTTACAGCTTTATCTAGTTTGCTAGGTACATAGGTATACATAGTATGTGTGTGGTGTGTGACTGAGCTAGCATTTGACTATCAAGAGGATGGATGTCGGCTGACGACAACAAAGGCTCTCTGCCAGATAATGCTCTTCGATTTCACAAGGGCTGAACCTTATCTATCAGAAAGGCGCCAAAAAGGCTGGCGCACCTTTACTAACAATTATCCTGGTAGGTGCGCCACCTTTTTTGACGTCCTTCCATATGTCCCGCTAGGTTTGATGAGAGTATCTCGCTCAAGGTAAGCGGGGCCCTGCCTAAACCTGTTATATGTATGAATTTATGAAATACGTACGATGAAGGTGTCATTGATTACTCACGATAAACTTATAAAGAGGCTGGACTACGGAGGCTATTTTCAGCATCATGGATCATATTTTGTTGGGTCTTAGTTTCATTGTTTAAGCAAGGGACCCGTCCCGTTAATCTACATACGTCGGTAGTAGCTCATAGAGAGGCTCGACACGGTTTTTCCCGATCTAGTACAATGGAGCCACGGACGAAGCTATCACACTAACACAATACCCAACGGCCAATGCGAATCTTTTAAAGTGCCCAGGCGGGCTGGCGGGCTAAGGCCTAAGCTAGTGCTGAGCCCTATGGCAACTAAGTGGATCACGGTCTCATCAACGCAGGAGGCTACCGTGGCCTGCTGCCTGCGTGGGTAACTTTAAAATCTTCCTGGTTTTCAAGATATTCTCAAACATCCTTCGATACCACGTGGGGGGCACATAGCATTTACCTACTTGGATATTGCTCAGTGCTGTGCCTGAATTATAAAAGAGACTAAGGCCTTAATCGGCTTAAATTTTAAGCTATGTTTACAAAGAAAATAGATATACGTTGGTCCCACATATATTATATGGGTCTACGATATACCAATTTTCCCCACTTTTATTTTAATTTAACTTAATTTAATTAACCGCTTTTTAAATTGTAAATATTAAACTTAGTTATTTTTTTTTTACGTTTATTAATTTAAATTATTTTAAATGATTTAAATATTATTATAAATTTAAATATACCGTAATTTATTATTAATGAAATAAAAAAGTTAACTTTTAATTTAACGGTTATTTATGGTTGTAACGGTATAAACAGCGATTTTATACCTTGAAATATTAATTATATTAATTATAAATAAAACGATTAAATTTTATACGAATTTTTTAATTTTTTTGTGTTTAATTTTAAAGTTAAAATACACGAATTATTTATTTAATTAATTATAAAACGATTTTATAAAATGGTTTTACAATTAAAATATATATATGTTAAATGGATTATAAATTTAATTGTTATATATATAAAGATTTTAACAGTTTTTACAAATAAAAACATATTTATTATTAATAAATTTTAAACGTGGGCTTTAATTTAATTTTATTTATTTAAAGTTATGTAAAAGGTTAATTTTATAAAGCCGTGGTCATATAAATTAATGAAATTTAAACGTAAAATTAAACAAAAACGATATTTTAAATATTAAGTTTTAATTAATAATTATATAAGCGGTAACGGTAAAGATAATAACGGGTGTTTTATTGTATTTAATTAATAATAAGCTTTTTTTTTAAAGAAAAACTTTACGGGAAAATGGTTACGTGTAACGTTTTTTAATAATAAAAAAATATATGTATAAACGTTTCCGTTTAATAAATTTATTAATAGTTATATTGTTAAAGTAAAAAAAAAATATACTTTTTTAAATCGGGATATTAAAGCTAAAAATAACAATGATAATATTAACATTATTAACTTTAAAAGTTAATTAATTAATGTAAATTTAAGTGAAAATTTCGATTTATTTAATTTTTAAACGTTAATTATATTACTTAATGTTTTTTTTACGTTATTATAAATTATTAAATCGTTTTAAAAAAAAAAACGTACGTATGATTTAAATTTAATTAAGTTTATTTTTAATGATTTTAACGAAAAAATTTTATTATTATTTAAAAAAAAAGCTATTAAAAAAGATTTTTTACATTAAACTTTTATTAATTACTAGGTTAAAAAGCTTAAACTATTAAATTTAAAAAAATTTAAAAAAGTATTCATGTAAAAAAACTATTAAATAAATCGGTTATAAAGCGTTAACGATGTTAAAACGGTTATTAAATATTTTTAAAAACATTTGGTTAATAATATTTTCTTTAATTAATTTGTAATAATTTTAAATGTTTTAAAATAAAAACAATAAACTGTTATTTTTAACGTTATAAATTTAAAAGAAAATAAATTACGGTATTTTAAAAGTTTATTAAAAAAAACTATGTAATTTTAAGTTATATTAATAATATAATATTTAAAATATTTAAATTATAAAAGTTTTATAAATATTTATAAATTAATATTATTAATTATTATATAAATATAATAAAATTTATAAATTTTATCCATTTTATAACTATTTTTAAATATATATATATTATTTAATTATTAATCATTTAACAATTTTAATAATATTTAATAATTAAATCGTTTTTTAAAAAAAAATTGTTTAAAAATTTAACCGCTTTACCCACTTTTTAATAAAATATTAATAAATAATTAATTAAAAACCTTTTAATTTTACTTTATTTTAACTTTAATTAATTATTAAACTTTTTAATTAATTAATTTTAACCTTTTTATTTAATAATAAATTATTATATATAATAATTATATGTTACCCATTATTTATATATTATCTTTATTTTAATATTTATTAACATTTTTTTAATTAATTTATTTATTTTTAATTATTATATTTTATATAAATTTTATTAAATTAAAATAAAATTAACTTTATTATTAATATTTTTAACGTTATTACGTTTAATAAAATTATAAAATTTATATATAACATACAAAAATTATATTTAATTTATAAAATTATATTCAAGTGTTAAAAATCGTATAATTTTAAACTTACGTTTTAATATATTAAATATTTATTTAATAATAACTTAAAGTTAAAAATAACGTAAATTATATAATTTTATTACATAAATAAACTTTTTTACACCAATATACCACTTTTATA